AGAAGTGTTCTTGTGACCTTCTTCATTTCGTTTTGTATACGACATGATTTTTGGAGGAGACATTTTGTGGCTGCTGGTGATTAAGCAGTCTCCCATCCACTCACAAGATACTCTTACATCAATACTTATTAGTGTTCCGACTTTTAGACTGGTCTCCACAATTCCTTACGGTTACATTTCCTGTAGCATGCACTGTTAGACATTGGTAAAGAGAGAGTCACCATCCAAAACAACGACATTCTAAAGGAATGCAATAGTGTTCAAATTTGTTCTTCTATCCACTGATAACAAGTTAGATAGACTGTGAATTATGAACCGGTCCCGTGCTGCAATTTCCAGTTTTTCTCGGATTCACACAACTTGTCCTTGGTATCCTTTTCATCAAGAAGAGACAAGGATTCACTTCAACAAATACAGGAATTTCATTTAACCATATTGTGCCATCAAAATAAATAGTTTAAGTTATATAGACTACATAATATTCAAGACAATTTATTAAGCATGATTTCATGCTGAGCTTTTCCGAACAAAAATTCTATGGTAACTTATTTGCTGAAATTGTTCCAAATATTGTGTGTACCATTGCAGTCCTTTCCGCTTCATATTCGCTTAATATCTTGGCTGTGGAAGCAGATGTCTCCGTTTTGAGGGAAGTGAGAACAGAGATATCAGAACGGAAGAACAGCTTTTGTTGTGATCGAATTCTAGCTCTAAATCTTCACAATTTGGACATTATGACTGTTTTCTAAAATTCCGCCGTCAACGCTATATATGTGCATCATAGGTTGTCCGTGCCTATGACAAAACATTACAACATTCCACAAGCGAGCTTCTTATTTTAGACTATCTTTCTAACATACTGTCGCTGTATATGTCTACGCTATTTGAAAATTCATACGTGATCAGAGTTCGCCTCTATGTTCCTCCATTGCATAGACTTCTGGAGTTTGTTTCGTATCCTGCTTCAAGAACACAACTTGTAGTTCATAGCAAATGAGGATGTCCTTAGTTGAGTATTTTAAGTAAAAAAAAAACCTCTAGCAATCATAGGTTGTACGATGTAGGTATCACTTTCGTTGAAAGAGATTAGATGTGGTATGTATAAATCTGATCAAATGTATCAAAACTCAGTATCATTAAACTTACATGTGTCATCGACTCTTTTCGCCTCCGATTGATGAGTTTCTAGAATACAAGTAATAACAATTTCATACTTTACTATATTTTTATATAAAAACCCTTCAAATTGGTAAATAATTGAATTTGTTTTCAAATTAAGGAAGCGCCTCAATTTAGACAAATTATCTCTCATCATATTATTATATAAAAGAGAATCATGTGATTGATTAGAGTTAAGATGCAAGGACAGGGACGGGATTTAGTCTTGGTGCATTGACCGCATAATCTTTGCACATCTTAAGTGTTCCTATTGATAACATTTACAACAAAGGATGTGTGGTTAATATTAGATCCAAATCAATGACATGTCATTAGGGAGCTTTGCATGCATATCGGGTCAATGTGTCCTTTGGATGACTTGTCTATATGACTCACCTTATTGCTTTTCCTTCTACCTTTCTATCAAAGAACATTCTGTTTGTGCTGAATTAAGAATCACAAATGGAGTTATGATTGGAGTTTTCTTGGTTTAGTTGTCACTTACAGCTCTTTGTATTCTATGTTAATTTCACAATGATCAACTTTGTGCTCACTAGAAACTTTGGCCCCCATTCATAAATGTTGTCCGCTTATTAAGATAAGCTGTTGTTATATAAACTCAGCGTTTTGTTTTGTTTTGAAACATTTTCTAATACTTCCTATTTCCCCCCTTTCCTGTATCCTCGCAAAAATTGAATACCCAGTACAATCTCGCTGCCAAATGTTTCCATGTTGTGCACTACTTTTGATTCTTCCCCTTTCCCTGTCCACTCCAACACTAAATCCCTCGTCACATCAATGCCCCCTGCATCTTACCTCTGACCAATCACAGACCTCTCTTCTGTAAAGTGTAATAGGGTGAGTGATAATTAAACTAAACTGAGTGATAACTAACTGCTCCCCAAATCAATTAAAACAAGCTCAATATATTTTCACATAATATTGATATAACTCTAAGTATATCAAATGTAATTTTTTTACTTTTATAATGTGACTTTGGAAATAACTGAAATAATAGTGTATCTTTTATATCATCAAATTTTTCATAATATATTTTTCAACATAGTAGATTAATCGTAGTTAAGAGTGGTAGAATGTAATTTAAGTAGACTTTGGATTTCTTCTCAATGTTACAGTTAGCTGACAGCCATCTTATCCCAAAAATGTTTTCATATTGTAAGATGAGCAAGTTGATGAATTAAATAATAATTTCCCCACAACAATACTATGTTGGATTGTTATAAATTCTTTGTAATTTAACTCAACTTTATGTTTATATTTAAGTATAATTTCACTCTTGAGATGAACATAAGAGATGTGAAGGTTTTTAATTCTCATACAAGTTTCATTGGGATACACAAGAATGATAGCTTTCACATTCATAAGATGATGTAAGAAATATTGTTCTTAAGTTTCCATCATTTGGAAAAAAATCTTATGTATATTCTGATAAAAGAATCAAATTATCATGTCATACACCCTCTCATACTGGATACTATAAATACCCTTGTTTGAACATAGTCTCCTGTGAGTCCAAGTATTTTTGTTTCAATGATAATGTTTGACCACAACCTTACTTTATTGAGATCATGTCTTGGCTTGATGTGCATCTTTATTATTAATGTATTGATGTTGTATAAAATAAATAGTGATGGATTCATATGTCTTGTTGATTCAAAGTACACATAATTACTAGCCACAATTTCATATCAATATAGCAGAAGGGTTGTATACTCCACAAATCAAATGCCCTGCTCTTGACTTGTATATATATTTTTTTGAATTATTGTTACAAATAGTACGATTACACACATATTACTATTTTGAAGTAATTATGAAAAATACGTGTGAAAGCTCGGAGAGTGGAAAGACAACAGATAGCATCCACAATTGCATGGAGAAAAACAATTTCTCCGTTCTTTTATTCTCGGAATTATGACTGAAAATCATGGAAGATTGTGATATCACATGAAGATAGTTATCACCCTCCATATTAGAAGGTTTAATCTATTACAAATGGCATGTAAATCTATCTCTAGAGAAATCTAGGTAGCACAAGAGAGCAATATGAGTATTGATTTTTTCCAGATGGATCAATGATGCAACCAACACACAATGAGAGAATCATCCGATACATGTGATTCACCAGAAGGTTACATCAAGTGGCAAAGAAAATCAAACCTCAGAGAACATAAATCTCCGTAATTAGTGCATGCAAATTGATCATCCAGAAGTGGCGGCAGAGTATATAGAACAATGGGGCTAGCAAATACATAAATGAGAATTTTATGGTTTATCTAAGTACAATGATAAGAGAAGGATTTAACTCCAAAGATTTCATGGTAGAACATGTAAATAGTTTCAATATAATGGTTGTAGTATTACATAAAATTCCATTGCGATGTTATTAGTATCTAGACCATTGGTTTCATCCACTCGATAGCTACTCCTACCAGTTTTGTTATATTTCTCCCTCTTCCATTTTTTGGCTTACACAGATTTGTTTCCAACTCAAGGTACGAAGGAGTCTATTAGTTCAGTTTGGGGCACGGGGGAGTCTGTCTCTGCAGTGATAAGCAGTCTCACAAACCCGGAGACATATATTCTTAGAGTGGACATAAACCTAGCAAAATATTCATTGATTATCAAAAGGAGTACCGTAGCGCATGTTTTTAGCATGGAGATACAGCATGTTTAACACACGTGCCTCCACAACCCCCACAACATTTTGGTTGGAAACCACGGAATAAAGCAAAAAGGATGCGAATGTCAATGCATAATCCTCGGGGTCACGAGATATGATCCACCTAAGTTTGGAACCTTGGAAGCAGGTAGGATAACACGGCCCATAAAATAGCCCAGATCGAGTCGGCGACCCGACATAGCGGGCGATTCTTGCTTTGCTGATGTCCATTTCTGGTCCCTAAGTAGTCGAACACATGAACGAAGCATCTAAAAGTATGTAAGGAAGCCACATACTCACGTGTTTTTTAGACTCACGTTCATTTTTAGAATCACACTGGCATAGTTCGTATCGGCAAAACATCACTGTGAACTACAAAACTCTTACACCAAATCTCCCGGAAGGTGTCTTCTCATTATTTTATTTCACTCTTTCTCAAGAGTCCAAAGCTCCAGACGTGGGCAGGGGAAATATGTTGTTGAATAAGTTGATAAGTACGAGCAGTGCAGCTTCCACAGCCTCACAGTACTCTCACAGAAAAAGGCTGCACCTACTCTCGTGCTTCCTGAAAACGACTCGTTTAAGAGAAGAATAAGTAACTAGAGTCCCACAAAATGAAGAAGAGTAAGGCTGCCCAACAACAAGAATACGTCTAAAGAAAATAAACAACTCCAAATAAGCTCCCAGTTGGGTGTAAATGCCCCCTTGCCGGTCCCAGTTTAAAATAACAAAGAAGAGATTATTTCCACTCTATCATTTGTCTTTACAGTTCAGAACTACACTCTGCACTCCATTCACACTGCGCGGTAGTTACTTTACTGGGTAAAAGCTATGGAGAGAACACAGTACACGCAGCAACCGCACAGCTGTGGCATGCCGTGCGAGTGACACGTGGCAAAAAGGTTCCAGGGTGGAATGAATGGGATCTTAATTACAGTAGGACCACCGGGAACCTCCGTCGAGACGGTCCACCACCGGAACTCGAGTCTACCACAGTCTCAAGACTCCAGGAATGTCGGGACATTCCGGGCCTTCGCAGTCGAGCATGTCCCCACCGATCGGACGGGCCCGCCCGCCCGCCCGCCGAGAATGCGCTGCTTCCGGCGAAAGAAGGACTGAATGTAGAGTCGCCTCGTGTCATGCAGAGGGCCGGGCCGGGCCAATATCGAGAGGTCCGGTCCGGCCCGGCCCGCGCACCACGCAGACGAGGAGCGGAGCTTCGAGCATTCGACAGCTTCAGCGAGTTGCGTGCAAATGATCGATAAAAAGCGTCTGGGGCTCCGTCGGTTCGGTTAGTGTTGCCGATTCCCGTGGCACCATCGGAAGCATCAATCGGAGCTGCGGTGCAGTGTTGTGTACATTTCGTGGCGTGGTGAGCCGAGTGGGTGCCGGATTTGTCGAATTGTGAAAGACGCCTTCAATTTTGGAGCTGAAATTTGTCTGAGTCGAGGAGCGGAGGGAGAGAGTGAGGACGATATGGCTGATATGACCGAGACCATGGGGCCGAGCACTCTCCGGGAGGAGAGGAGCAAAACGCAGTTTGATGTAGAGGCGATGAAGCTGGTCTGGGCAGGAAGTGCAGCACACAAGAAGGTTGCTGATAAGATGAAAGTGCTGGTTGCGAATGATCCGGTTAGTTTCCTCTGCTGAATTGATGTTTTTCGTCAATGTTGAATCAGAGTACCGCTGGTAATGCCTGTGTCGAAATTTGGCTCTGTTTTAGCTGTTTTTGGGTTCTCAATCTTATCATTGCTGTCTTCAACATGTTCTGGTTATAAAGGATGTGGAAAATCCATATGCCCGTAAGTGTCCCGATTGCTGGTGCAAACATAATAAGTCTAGGTGAGGTTAATTCATCCTTCTTTGGTCTACCCTGTTATTTAGGTGTTTGAGAAGTCTTCTCGGCCGCGATTAGACCGCAAGTCACTGTACAAGAATTCCCTGAGAAAAGCAGCCCACGCATGGAAGCTCATTCAAGATAATCATCTGACAGGTATTTCCCACCTTTCTCACATATCATGAGTATTTTGAAGTCATTCCTCGTGGTTGAGATTGTTTTCCCGTTCATGAAAAGATAGGATATGAAGTTTATAAGCTTTGAAGGTTCAATTACTTGGGACTTATGTCCTTGTGGATGTGCATTTGACGGACTAGAATATTGTACAGCCCTAGTCTCTCGCAAGTAATTACAAGTTCTTCGAAAAACAGTGGGGAGTACATGAATATTCTAAGTGGAATGTGCTTGTTGTGCATTACAGAGGAGGAAGCGTCAAGTTTGAGGCATTATATTGACGAGCCTAGCTACAATGACCTTCACTGGGTATATATTTCTGTCGCAGTTGCTAATTCAGTTTATTTGAAATTTTTTCCTTACTTATAGTCTAAATTGTGAAAATTTAATTTTTTCTACTGAGTTGATATAAATTCACATATGTTTGACTGTTCTCAAGCTTTATTCACCATCTCTTACAATGTTTTTTTGAAGCTGAAGTACATACTGTAGCGAGTATCGACATTTGTAATTTAGCAGTCGGAAGGGGGCTAGAAACCCGTCCAATTCAGAGTAGCAGTGCTAAAAGTCACGAATGTTAGACACGTATCACATAAAATCGTTACCCCAGTTAACCGAACTCTTGCAATCCGATAGTAATTCACAACTCATAAAATGTAAATTATTGAATGTGAGTTTTTCCGTGAGGATTAGAGCCTGCATTTACTCAATGGACTCATTAAAATATTGTAGGTATTTGTCGCGTTCACATTGCCTTATGCCGAGTGCTGTACGAAGTCTGTCCCTGTCAGATTGCAAGTATACGCCCGTGCCAAAACAGGATGGGGGAACGACCAACAAGTGGCAGCAGCATCATCAGTACTAACCTCAAGACTTGCTACAGTATTTGATACTAGACATAAAGACCGGGACATTCACTCAATGTTGTCTGAAATTTGGCCATTTATTGAGCGTGTTAGCCTGTGATTTTTGCAGGGTATGTTTATTCCAGCTATTAAGGGGCAAGCAACGGAGGAGCAGCAGAAGAAATGGCTCCCACAAGCGTACAAGATGTCAATAATTGGATGCTATGCTCAAACAGAACTAGGGCACGGATCGAACGTACAAGGACTAGAAACACAGGCTGTATTCGATCCTTCCACGGACGAGTTCGTTCTTAACAGTCCCACTCTTACCTCCACAAAAGTATGCGCCATGCCTTTTGGTATTATAAGTTCTTCTCGTCCCATGTTACCAAATTTTTTATGACCGAACGATGGGTACGAATAGTGGGTCGTCGAGATTGTTCTTCGCGATCTGCCATCCAAGTCTAGCTTTATTTCGTGTTTGCTCTCAGATCCTACGAACTTTCAAAACCTGTGCGGTTTCAAAAATCGCCTTGACTGCTTGTCTAGATGTGACGTAACACTACTTAACGAATCAACACATTATAGTCTCATTCGCATGTTCGTTTTTTGTATACCCTACTAGTGAACTTATGTGGTTTTGAACTTCTATTAGTTGCTTCAACCATGAGCAGTGCAGTCTATATTCTGCTAAAACTTAACTAGATTTGTGAACAGACTGTTTTTGGGAGTTCATGCACTCATATGGATCTTCTAGCATTCTTTTACTGACTTTACAGTCCTTGTCGTTAATAGTGGTGGCCTGGAGGACTTGGAAAGGCTTCTACCCATTGTGTTACCTACGCTCGACTCATTACTGATGGCAAAGATTACGGAATACATGGTAAGGATATATTTCTAACGATCAAAAGCTTGCTTGTAAAAGTAGTTACAAGTTTCCAGACTTGGTCACAAGCACCTCATAGTTATGATTTGGGGTTAATAATGTTTGGTTAAATTTTCTATAACTGTAGTCGCTTTCTCAACCTCTAATGTCTTGGCTGTGCAAAACTTTCAAATAAGAATGGGACTGTGTGGAATGCTACAGTTCAGCAAGTGAATCTACGACGTAACAAGAATTTTTCAACAGTAATTCATACATCCGTCAGGTCTCTTTGTTTAATAATCATTGTTTTCAGGTCATGATAGGGAAATGCTAATGTGTAAAGTCTTTCTTCTATTCTGTAATTTTTGTTTCTTATTCCTGATAGGTCTTTCTTCCCTCTTTGTCAGTCCTTTCGAATTGGGTACTGAAAGGTGTCAATGTATTCAAAATTGGGTGATAAGTCCTTTGTCAGACAGCACCAGAGTAACCTGCTATACGCCATCCAGTTAGAGTTGTAGCTGTTGTAGGGAATAATTCAGATAAATCCCTTTTTAATTTCCCTACCTCATAAAGTACCTTTATCTTTTGCCCTTTGAGTTCTCAACATAGACTGTATACATCAAATGTGGAGTATCAACTGGATAAATTTCTGCTACCGTAATGAATCTTAACGTCATTTTCGAAGTATCGGCATATGCAAGATACGAATTTGGCGGGGGTGAAAGAAGACTTTTTCTTAGAATTTGTTAGAAGTATTACTACCCACTTCTTGGTCCTCCGTACACTCTGTTAAAGAACGTTTGTACTTTGTACTATGGTCAGTGGTCGTGACACTTAGTCACGACCACTGTCACGACCAGCCCCTGTCCATTAGGGTTTAGGGTCCTGTATCTCTCGGATGACCACTGTCACGATTGGGTATATTTTCCCCCATCCGAGTTCACTCCCCAATAACTAAAACTTTCTCTCCAGGACTCAGTACCTGTGTGTCTCGATCCTTTCATGCATTGCTTTACTTCCTGATATGGTTACAGAGCTTTAGGGTTTAGAGTTCAGAGTTCAAAGACTTTCGAAGACTTACTTCGGCAGAACGTGAAGCACAGAGGATAGTTCGAGTTCTGGAAGATGACTTCTCCAGGGGCTTAAACCCGAATCGCATGGAAATATCTCCCCAAATTCATTGGGGTGCATTTCCATGCCTGGAAGAGCAAGATTAGTTTGATCCTTCGACTGGAAGGATTGATGGGCATGATGGAAGGGACTGAAGTTTGGCCAACCACTCCACCGGGTTCTACAACCAGATGTCCAGAGTCAGGCGCAGGGAGCAAGAAGGAATAGGATGTTAAAAATCTCATTCCTGCTTGCTCCCTGCGCCTGACTCTGGACATCTGGTTGTAAAAACCGGTGGAGTGGTTGTATGTGGGGTATCAACTGGATAAATTTCTGCTACCGTAATGAATCTTAACGTCATTTTCGAAGTATCGGCATATGCAAGATACGAATTTGGCGGGGGTGAAAGAAGACTTTTTCTTAGAATTATGTTTTGATTTGTTCAGATGACATTAGTAGGATCCTCAGCTTGATCGAAAGTTAAGACAAGAGCGAGAGCTTTCTGTGGATGTTAAGTAACAGAATTACATTATCCAGTTGTCGTATTTTTGTGATACTAGTAGTCATTTGCCCTGAGATAGGAACTAATTGTCCCAAAATTATGGTGAATGAGTACAGTTACCTAGATACTCGTCATCATAGCCATGCATATTCACACAGAAGAGGTGTAACTATTGTGTATGTCTGCTGAACGCCGTTTATCCGTAATTGATTTACAACGTTTTTGTTCATGGGGGAAAGAGAAAGATTGAGTCTAGGATATGAAAATGTTTGTTATATGCCGAACCTAGTTTTTCAGGAGGGCTTTCGCGATCAAGATTTATTATCCTGATCAAAGGGGCTGCTTACGTCGTACATAATAGCTAATGATATGTGGTGCCTGCAGCCTTCATTGCCCCAATTCGGAGTCTTGATGATCACAGTCCTCTTCCCGGTATAACAGTAGGAGATATCGGAGTGAAGTTCGGGAATGGAGGGTACAACACCATGGATAATGGGTTTCTACGTTTCGACCACGTTAGGATCCCGCGAGATAATATGCTTATGAAGTAAGCACCTAGGGGAAGTGCACACAATAGTGGACATTAATTGGCTCTTTGATTTTCCCGACACTGCTAATTTTTTGTTCATCTTGTCTTTTTCGAAAGCATTGGATTTCATTTTTCTTTTAAGACTATACCTTCATATGTTTCGAAAACATATCCTATTACACTACTTGCCCTAACTAGGATTCCACTTTCTTACTTTATGTGCTGGCAGGTTGGCTTCTGTAACAAGAGAGGGGAAGTATGTGAAATCTGGTCAACCGAAACAAATTGGGTACGGAGCAATGGTTTACGTGCGCACAACAATCGTGGTAGATGCCTCCAACATGCTTTCTCGTGCTGTTACGATAGCAACTCGTTACAGTGCCGTAAGGCGCCAATTTGGTACTGAGAAGGGAAAGCCAGAGACGCAGGTGAGCTTCTGGTCTTTGCACATGACAATTGGGGATGCATTTATGTTGTCATCCTGGTGAAAGTTCTGTACTGCACGTTTCTGCCTTCTGCCTTCTGGACTATTCTAATCAGTGGTGCTCTGATTTTGGATGACAGGTGATTGAGTATGCAACACAACAGAGTAGACTTTTTCCTCTGATCGCCTCGACTTATGCCTTCCGATTCGTGGGAGAATGGATGAATTCTTTGTATGCTGATGTTTTGGCCCGAATAGAGGCCAACGACTTTTCTACTTTACCTGAAGTCCATGCCTGCACATCAGGATTGAAATCCATCACCACTTCCATAACTGCGGTGAGCCATCTTCGTGGATACTTGTACCCACACATGTCATTCTCCTGTATTAACATGGGACGTTTAAGGGACTGGCCTTTCTTACTCCAGACATGGATATTTTGGCGAGTGCTTTTGTGCTTTTTTCGCAAGATAGGCTTTAGAGGTCCTATGTTTTTTATTCTTGTTCCACATTCGAAGTGTGCCTAGAATTTAAGAAGTTTTTACGAGCGTCCATTCTTAGTTTGGCGCGTCTCTACTCGTCGCTGTGCATGTGCCCCGTCGCATCTTCAAAATTTTCCTTCTACATCCCTTCCTTGGTACCTTTGTGGTTCCTGTATACGATCTTTAAAGTATTTTCGTGCTTTCCTACGCAGCTTCCGTTTAAGATAGGTATCATACTTACGTTGGACCAGGCTGCACGTTAGCCGAGAGCCTTAGTACATTTATCCGTAGTGTATGGCCCTCTTAACGAGTATTGTACTGGGTCCTGCTAGATATAATTTGCCTCTTGGTTCAGAGTTGTGATCCATAAACATCATTATTTCTTGCTTATCGAACCAAGCATCGTATGTGCCCTCACCTAGTCTGATTTATCTTTGTATCGTTTAAAGACTGGGTATGAACTTGCAGTGTGTTCCATCCTGCGGACACCTTTGTGTGTATCCATCCTGGTCGTCGTCAGACCCATTGAATTTGCTGTTTGAACTCTTCTCTCTCGTGCTTGCCGAGTCATTAGTCGAGCAGTATATTCTTACACAAATTCTTTCTTCTACTCAATAGCTCATAGTACCTTAGTTTAGATATAGTACGTCCTCATTTATTCAAGAAAACATCGTTCATTCGAATTTCTCCACGGTTGATATTCTCGCTTGCTCTACATGTAGGCCACCTTATGTTTTCATGAAGTGACCTGCATTCAGAGAACTCTAGGACTCACAGGTCTCTGTCGGCACGGATGGAACAGTCGTTTAACACGCTTGCATGTTCTATGCGAGGGGTAATTCCCTCATGCTACTGACCACTGCGGTAGTGTTTTTCATGGTTCATGTTTGTGTTTTCTTCTCCATTTCTTTAGCCATTATTTGTCCGTATTGAGTTACATATTTAAAAGATCTCTCAGTACTGGATGGATATCAATATGCACGATTTTTAATGTAACTTTGGCGGTTGTGGTATTCCAGGATGGCATAGAGGAGTGTCGAAAGTTGTGTGGGGGCCATGGCTACGCCTGTAACAGTGGTCTTCCTGAGTTGTACGCAGCTTATGTGCCAGCTTGTACCTATGAAGGGGACAACACGATATTGCTGTTCCAGGTATCTTCGAAAGCTAAATTTCAATGAGTAAAGTGCATATTGGCTAGTCTTTATAAGAAGTTATGCGTTGTTTTCCTGGACATGGTGCATCACTTGTGACCGATTCTGAACAAATTGGAACAATCGACTGATTGGCTGTTTTAAGCAACGGAGTATACGTGATGTCGCGTTACGTGACCAGTTTTATTATCAAACTCAAACTCAATTTTAACTGGGGAATGTTATACGAGGGTTTGAGATAATACATGTAGCGATTGTTTATTAAAATGACTAATTCCTTGTTTCATTGTAGGTGGCAAGGTTTTTGATGAAAGCCCTCTCTCAGGTGGGTAGTGGGAAGAAACCTACTGGCACTGCCGCATATCTTGGAAATATACAGAAACTTGCCACTGAAAATTGCAAAATTACTCAAGGTGAGTAGAATTACTGTAACTTATATAAACTGACATAGCTGTACAATTTGAAAGCGGAGCCACGTTTTTTACGATGATTTCAAAGATAATGCTACGAGAATGTGTCCATCCTCCAAGAATTTTATATGTGGACGTTTTTGCAGCTTGATTTGGTCCATACTTGCTCTTCTTTCTAGTATATTAGTTGCTGATATTCTGGTCCTGTTGTGAATCAGGTAGAGAGTGGTTGAGTTACGATGTCATCATTGAAGCTTTTCAAGCAAGAGCAGCCCGACTTGCGGGTGCCTGCGCGTTGAAACTGAGCAAGGCACCAAATGCTGAAGCCGGTGGGTTACCTGGGTCATGGGCCATATACCTTATTTCTAGTGTGTGGAAATGCTATGTGACCGAATGCGAATTGATCAATGTGCAACTTACCTGTGTGGCGTGGTCGATGGTCCTCTGAGAATGTATGGAGAATATATACGGCTGTATTCTCACATTTGACGTTGTTTTACAGCATTTGAGGAATTTGCGACAGACTTGGCAGAGGCAGCACGAGCTCACTGCCAGCTGATTATTGTGGAGAAGTGAGTTTCACGTTTGACTTTGTTTTTCCTCGATCGAAGTTGTGTACATGTGGGGTCCTGATTTGATATATGTCACACGGAGCTCGAGTCTTGAGAAAAACCCGTAATATCAGTTTACGTCCTTGTCTTTAGTCACTGGAGAAAAGGAAGGACAGGGTTATGCTTGCTACACAGAGCAGTTATTTGTTGGTTATAACGGTAGAATCGTCCCGTGGCAGGTTCGTTGAAAAGATGAGGTCTCAAATCCCTGGAAGAGGTGTAGCAGAGATTTTGGAGGTCTTATGTTATGTGTATGCTCTGGATCTTGTACGCATCAACGCAGCAGACTTCCTTTCTACGGGCTACTTGACAAGCAAGCAAATCTCGCTTGCTAAAGATCAACTTAGATCCTGCTTCAAAAAGGTACTCTTTGGAACTTGTTTACAATACTTGGTCCTCGCAGTTGAGTTTTGATCTTTGTATCCTCGTACCTATCAACAAAATAAATGTTTTCTTTCGTACCTCATCTAACGTCTACGTAGTATGTTTCTGTTACTCATTTCACTTACAGATTACAAATTACAGAAGAAATTTGCTATGCTGGTTCTTTTCCAGTATTTTTAATTTATCTGTGCGGACACTTGGAGTATAGATTTGAATATGCTCCTGGTGATGATTAGATTCTACGTCAGAGTGTCTTTATGCGCAGTTCTATACAGTTCCACAGGTTGTCCCCGATGGAAGGACTGGAGTAGGAAGAAATCAATATGCAATGTCGCCATCACGCCAGTCTCCTAGCGTTGATTGTTTTGTTGTTTACTGAACGACTTGGCTAATTTACTAGAGAGATACAATCACATTTTGGTCATTTAAACTTCTGAGAAGTCTGATGCATTTGTTCTGACGATTGCAGATAAGGCCCAATGCCGTCGCACTGGTCGACGCCTTTGACCACACAGATCACTACTTATCGTCAATATTGGGTCGATACGACGGTGACGTGTACCCTAATCTGTACAAGGACGCACAGGAGGAGCCATTGAACGATTCTGTTGTTACCGAAGGTTATGCAGCCTACATCCGACCAGTCCTTAAGAACCAGCTACGACAATCAAAACTTTAAGGCGTAGATGTTTCATTGTGCATATGATTCTAATCACGAATGGTATCCATTCTCCCACCTGTATTTAATTCATAAAGACAAATGCAAAATAAAATGCGGCCTGGCTTTTACGAACCACAGGTTCACGGGAGGAATATAGTCATAATCACTTGAGCATCCATTGTACTGGTTTCATTCTTACCTGATCATTTCACCAATTTGCTAGTTTGACCGGCGTTTGGACTACATATGCATCACTTGGATTACGTTATCAAGTTTTACCACCGAACATAGCCTCCAAGTAGCCATAAGGCCTCGAGAGCTTTATGTAAAGCTTGGTGCATGGTGTGGCTACAGGCGCTTGAGATACTCTAACGGACTGTACCACTATCTTACCACTTTCGATAGACTCGGCGGGGTGATATTTCGGCACCGAAGATTTGGCTAGGTCCGAATCTCCTGTAGATGCAAATGTTTGGACTCGGGAGCTAGAGCTTTCAGCACTGAATCTGATGAAAGTCCTCTCGTACTACTACTGAGTGACACTAGGTGACACCGGGTCCATAGCATGCAGCAAGTACAAGCGCCTGGCATCATCATCAGGGCTACTTTGCTGATGAAGTATCGGACCTGTGTCCAGACCAGCAAACGTGCTGTAGAGAAGGAGAGTAGGCAGTCGTAGCGCTAGCGTGTCGGCTGGTTGGGGTAGGAGCAATTCATCGGATCGTAGGTAATTAGCTCGGTGATAAGAAGATATTCCCTTGGTCTATTCTCGAGGTAGGCCAATTGCATCGAGGTAACGCCTCAGTGCCCAATCGGCCCCATATAGTCGATATAAACAATCTGAAAGCGCCGAAGGGAATCAATCGCCTTGTTGGTCTTGGATCCCTCGTTCCATATCTCCTCTCCATGTGAGGAGTGCACGTACGGAGGAGCAGAGCAGAGCAGAGCTCGCCATAGACTAGCGAAGAAACCTTCTCACGGGTCGGTGAACATTCTTACCCGAATGGCGAGAATTGACAGAAAGTGCACACACAGCGTGAAAACAGAAGAGCAATTTTGTCACGTCAGTAAGAATGTTACCGGATCGCGTCTACCAGAGTGGCAGTAGGGTCGGGTGTTAGGGTTAGACTGTAGAGCTCGAAAAATGCGTAATGTCAGCTCACTCGCGTTGCCCTTGTTGGTCAGGATAGACTTCTAAATCCAGGCTATGTGAGAAACTGGCTCACCATGTATCTCATCACTTCGCTCAATCCTCCTGCGAATGCATGTTCCTCATTTCGCTTCTCTTCACGTGCAAGGGAATCTTCGACTAGCCTGGTTTACTGAATCTGCATCAACAAGCCTCGGTGCAGTAACATCTACAGCAGTGGCCATGAGCAAAGCTAATGTAGACTGTTCAGGATGTTCAGTCAAGCTTGATGTCACCCACTTCTCGACGCTCGATGCTCTTGTGGATAGGTCGCGGGTCCTATGGGGCACGGATGTGATCGCATCCAGGTCCCGCAGATGCAGGTTTCCATGGACTCGACCCTGAATCTACTAACTACACTACGCCATGTTAGTTAGAGTCGATGTGACGCAATTCGTCTGGTCTCGGAAGGTACAGTGGCCACAAAATCAAAAGCTCGTATCCGTCCTTCCAGAATCGTTTCCAATTTCGTCCGTAAAGCCTATTGGTGTTGAGACTGCGGATCCTCTTCCTTTTCTGTGCAGTTAAATGGCGCTGCATCGAAAAGGGAGACCAATAATTGTCGTTGCTCTGAATCACACATGCCTATTCGAGCGAATATTATACGAGCCATCGAGGATTAGTCTCAACAATGCGTCACTTCATGTAATGGAGTCAGTAACGTTTGCTTCGTGAGTGCCAATAAAGTTGCGAGAAAAGCCAAACAACATAAGTGGGAGGAGCGAATTATTGCCCATGCTTTGGGCTGCAATCATCGATCATTGTACTCAGGCTGGACCGTGGCGATGAAGCAGCTCCAGAAAATCATATGCCTAAATCCCACTACAAAATGTGCTGTTGGTACAATTCAATGGAAGCAGTATGTTGAAGATTCAGATCTGATTCAGCAAAGTTATGACTGCGTCTTCGTATAAATGTTGAAAGTTTGGTTGACTTTTAGTGTATGTGAGTTAAGCCTATACCTATCCACACCAATGATGATTTCGGTTCTCCAAATCAACAGTGGGTGTGCAAGCTTTGTTAACTGACTGCCAGCAAGCTCCAGGGAACTCAATGTACACATCGTGTGGTAGTGTCGGGGTTTTTTACTTCTCTTCTACTTATGTTTTGGTATTACAATACCAATTTCATAACTACTCTTCACATGTGTATGAACCTAATAGCACTGTAGTTAGTGCGCTAACTGTAAAGAAATATGTAAAGTAGTAAAGTGTCATAATCCTTACATTTGAGTGTTTCTTCCCAGATATAGAATTACATGTTGAGAAATATGTTTGCTGGGTTAGTGATGTCAACAGTAAGAGAGTGGAAAGTAAGTGTGTATATATATATATATATATATATATATATATATAGAAAAGAATTTCTTCCTTTTCTTACGACTAGAATTATTGTCATTTGAGTTCATACAAGTGTTGCTGTTTTTTCTCGAAAGTAACACAAAGCTTCAACTATAGTTCCAATTGATGGCAAAAAGTCCCTGGTCTGCGTGTGGTCCACACTCATGGAGCATCATCATCACTAAATATACGGTTTTCTGTGTACATGGATCATGGATAACGAGATATGGTCGTTTACGCAATAAGCACATGAGGATTCTGCATATGTTGTGGATGCTTGCAGCACACGTAGTAAATAACTTCAACATGGATGAAACAACTCACGTGTCCCTCCTCCTCCATCTCTCTCTCTCTTTCTTTCTCTCTCTCTCTCTCTCTCTCTCTCTCTCTCACTCATGTACCTCATTCTAGGCACCTCGTCGTTGCACAAATGTGGACCTTTATCCTGAAAGCGAAAATCTAGAAACTTTCAACAAATGATCATGACAAACAGTGGAAATTATGAGCAGAAACTGGACGAAATCCACCTTGCGATCAGGCAAGAACTCTTGACAATGAGAGCTGGACGGGAAATTGCTTTTTGACCGGGTCCCAGTGGTGAAACCAGCATGATCTGTTTCGAACATGCGGTCAGATCAGGTCACTGTAACGCCACCCAGCAGCATGTGCACGTTCGTGCCGCGTCACTGCAAATTCTTGCGATTGTTTTCTCATGATCCTTGGCACATCATAATAGATAAGCAGCTGATTCAGGTCGAATCTCATTATTGAACCATTTTAATGATTTTAATGATAGCGAGTCAAGGCCAGCCTAGCTGCTGCAGCAAGGCAAGACAGAGCAAGGGCCCGATCTACTAACAACAACAACACTGCTGCTGCTGCTGCTGCAGAGGCTTTGCATTATCTACCACAGTCACCGACATGCACGCGACCAACAAGCGACGAACCATGAAGCAAATGCACCAGCGGCAGGCAATTCGGATGCCGATGCAATTGGACCGAACTCGCGCCATGTCAACGCTCTGGCGTGAGTGAGTTCGTGATGAAAGGGAGTTGACATGGTTCGATGCTCTCTCTCTCTCTCTCTCTCTCTCTCTCTCACACACACACACACAACTCACGGACAGGCTCGAGGGGGCGGTTGCCTTTTGTGGCAGAAGGTGCTAGAAGGAATAAGGCCAACCCAAAAGAAGCGTGACTGGATTGATTGAGTCGCATGCACACTCACTCACTGACTCGCGAACTGTGCACGAAGCGCAATTTATTTTAATGCGCATCTCGGATTCTCTCGCCCCTTCGCGTCCAGGCAGTGCGAGATGAAGAGAGCAATCGAGGGCGAGCATATTTGCTCGAGACATGACAGATAATGGATTGACAAAAGAGGCTAAGCAGCTGATTGATGCCCGCAGCCCCATCCACCATCCTGCCTGCCATCCATCCATCCATCAATCAATCCATCAATCCATCAATCAATCAATCCATCAATCCATCGATCCATCGCACAGGCCCTGCCTGGGAGTGGGAGTGGCTTGGGAGGCTTGGGAAGCTTGGGCATGGGATTCGGCTTGGGCTTGACCTTGACGTAGGCATGGCTGGAATGGCCCTTCACAAAATCCGAGAAGCCCGGCGGGCGGAGTTCCGAGAAGCTTGATTGATTGATCGATCGATCGATTGTTTGATTGAGGGAGTAATTTAGTCATCGAGCAGGACAGGATTGCGATGGCATCCGTCATCAGAGTCTACGTTCAGACCATGTGGATTGTAACATCCCCCAACTTGCAGCCCACCGGAGCACAGCAGGAAGCCTCGCGCTGGCCTTCTCGCCTCGTCAAGTTGGACACTGTCCCCCCGAATGCTCCCAATCGAGCGAGAGGACTATTTTGTCCCGACGCTGCTTGCGACCTTGCGCTTCTCGTCATGATGTTGACCGATGTCACTCTCTCTCCTGCTCCCCCTGCGAGGTGTCCATTCTCCAACCTCGACAGAAAATTAGGCACCGCTTCCCCTTCTTCCCCACCCCCAAAGTTGGGAGATAATGGATGGAGCCTCTTTCTCGGTGCCGACCTTTCTACGAAGCATCGCAAGCTAACTGCTCACCCTTTAATTCATACAACCTCTCTCTTCGACGGGGAAGGGATCGTATGTCCATTGAATTTGGAGATTTGGATTCTCAATTTGGAGATTTGGCTTGCCTACTTTTCAATAACGCTCGCAACTTCTGCCTCGGGGATCTCGAGTTTCGATCCTTTGGGTGTGCAAGGAGAGAGAGAGCGAGAGACTCGGTCAGATATTCGAGTCGAAAGCAAAATCTCACAAAATTTTTATAATAAACAAGAAAAAAGAATTTTAACAAGAAGCAAAAGAGAGATCGACGAGAATGTCGAGTCGAGTCCAAGCAACCTCTTGCTTGACTGCTTTCCATCTCTTTCTTGAAATCCACCCCGAGCTCAGCTCGAGCCGAGTGAGCAAATTCGAGGGAGATTCCTTCGGACACTAGGAGACGACGACGATCAGAAAGAGGGCTCGTGGAAAGACAAAAAGTCCAGTCACCACTTGGACGTCTTCCTCATCCGTTCACTCCTCGGCCACAGAAGTCTCCTCATTCTACTAAGACCGAATTCAAAGTTGACGAACATGTCAAGAAGAAGAAGAAGAAGAAGCTCAGACGTAATAAATCAGGCTCGTGGTCTGCGACTAGGATTAATCTAGCGGTGGCCTGCTCATTCTTTCATGCATTTTGCCCCCTCTTACGTTCAGAGCATTCATGGACTTTCGGAGTTCGTTACATAAATCTCGTTGAATCTCGTATAGTTATGAATATGAGAGCAGTTAAATATAATTATCGGAAGGGCAGTAATGGGAGGATTATGACGGAATCGTGCGCTAGGCGAACCGTAAATAGATTAATCGACTGATTTAGCTGCCCCAACCGCTCACAATCATTGCTTGCAATGGCAAGAAAACACTGGGAATTTCCATAAATTCATATCTCACGTAGCCGAGGAGGAGGAGGAGGCCAATGCCAGCGTGGCTGACTCAGGGTGACGCTGACGGTGGAAGCCTGATCCACAAGAGACATGGAGTAAAGGCCACTACCTGTAGGGGACGAGCGAGCTTGCAAAGTTAGGAATGTGAGTCACTGCACTGACTGCGGCCAGGTCAGAAAAATACTTACTGACGACGATCGGGTTTGTCTCCAGGTCCGTGAAAAGTAAATTCGGGGGGGTTGGGGTTGGGGCTGGGGGTGGGGGTGAAGAGGGACTGTAGGACGGGTACTGGTAACTCGGCGCAAGTCGATCAATAGTCATACCGGCAGCTTGTCTTGTCGTGGTAGGAAAGCGCACGTGGAGAATGCCACTTGTCCTCTAGCCAGTGGTACCGTGGTTTCGTACTATATCCTTTAGCCCCGCAGGGCGGCAGCGCCTCCCTTGGGTTTCGTATGTATTTATACAACACCAACTCGAAATCTTTGGCAGTATCCAGTGGTTGCGGAATTTTCTACCAGGGTCTCTGGACCCCCGGAACCCCGGACCCTGGTTACCTGGTTCTCCTTCTAGAATGTGGTAACACCCCCCTTCCCCACCGCATGGTCGTGGGCGATTGGAGGAATGTGGTAAAGGGCTTGGGGTTGGGGTTATAGGCGCCTGAAATGTACTTGGTTCACCTCCCCGAGCCCAGACCCAAGCCCAACCCCCTCGTTTCGTCCCTCCCTCCATCCTCGTGCCTATCGTTTTTGTTGCTCGAGTCCTTTTTTTCCTTTGGAGTTTTGGGGCTTCGCCCTTTATCTCTTCGACTCTTGCCTTTTGCACTTATTCTACGCCTCGTATTGATCCACTTGTAGCCCTCTTTGTTGTTTTTCTTCCTTTTTTGCCCCTGGATCGCTATCCATCCCTCTCAGACTCTTCATCATTGACATGGACGCTTTGGATGAAATGAAATGAACACGAGAAGCCCCACTGAAATTGGTCAAGATTTTGGTCATCGATATTTTCTCTTAATGACCTGACCAGATCAGACCAGACCAGACCCTCTTGCTCTTGGGAGCTCAAGGACTCTTTCCGTAGCATCTCCATGTGCGTGCGTTGTTACAAGGAGGGTCGCCTCGTCAGGTTGTGCAGAAAATTGGTGGCAGGGGAAGTGGAAATCAAAGTCTTCGCCTACAGACACAGTAAGTGCGTGCTTGTGGGGAGGATGGGTTACTGGTAAATGGAGACCAGAACGTGAGTTGAATGAGGGTACAAAGCCATGGACAGACAGGATGTGTACAGTCACGATTCACGAGCGTGACTGAGATTTAGAGCGAAAAGCACCAAGTGAGCGCACTTTGGCCTAAACGATGGAATCATCTCTGCCCTCATCGTTGCAAACGAACGTACCGTAAGACAAAGTGACACAATCTGATTATTCTTAGAAGTGATTTATCCAATATCTCTTTGACTTCGGACTTTTGACTTTTGACTACTTAGTGGATAAGCATAACCGTGTGTGACTGACTAGATTATGCGAACCATATGCGAGGAGCTCTGACATCTCAACAGTAGAAGTAAATTAAGAGTGCAACGGAGCGTCGATTGGTGGGAGAAATTCATTTTTTATTTTACCTTCTAAGCAACTTCATGCCCTATTTATATTGGTTTTTGGCCAATCATGTGGCCACAATTATTAGGCTCTTCTGAGAGGACAGAAAATTCATATAAAAGAGAATTTCGATGAATTTAGCTTACTGAAGAATAAACTAAATATATATGTTCACATTTTCCACATTATTTTACGAAAAATTAGGCTTTTCCAATTGGATGTGGACTTATTATGTGCGATACGTTGTGGATGTAGCCATGTATTTCCATTCGCCTCTTGAAGGTAGGCTGGTTTTTATGAGCGATGAGATGTCTACTCAGCAACTTTCTGGCCTAAACCTCGAGAAAAATTGACCTGTGCAGATAGGTTGCGGTCACATGTGACAGCAATGTGACTGGGCCCTTATTTTTAGAATTAATCGATATTCTATAAGAAGTGAAAAGGATTGAGACAAGTGCATCGGAGACCAATGAAATAATCATTCGCACGAACTGTGACCGCAATGACCGAAATGTGACATTGAGCGATCGGGTTTGCACTAAATAAATAAATATTATTCCTTCGGCACAGAATAAGGCTGTAAGAATCGGGGACCACAGCGATGGTGCTTGGCGATGTGACCGGGCTACTACACATTCCTAAAGTAATATAAAACAGCTCCCAGCCCCACGCGTTATGGGGAAAGAAACGAAACGAGATACGAAATCCCGATAAAAAAGATAAACCCAGCATTAAAAAAATCCGTGCATGTTATATCCACTACATGAAGATAGAAGAACAGATGGAGGAACCGGAAGATTCGCATGATTTTTATCATATTTTTGTCTTCAGGAAACGAGTGGATAAATGAAAGAAGCTTTTCGATCTCACCAGCAGCAGAGATCAGAAAAAGAAAAGTCAGGACGAGAGAGCTGGGGGGTAATCTGGAGGGAGGGGGGAGTAGAAAGCGGCGAGAAACCAATTTTCTAGGCGCGTCAAAGTGGTTAGAGCATGGGGGAGACCAAGAGCGATAAAGCTCGATGTCAATCCGGATGGATATGGGAAATATCTGCCGGTGAACAAATGGCCCATTTAGCACCTAACAACACACCGCGGCCCCGCCCGGCCGCGCTGCGCAAGTCAAACGAATTTCCAGAAGTGATTGGGAGCGCCAGGAGTGCAGGCAGGGGCGAACACAGCATCGAATTATTTAGCCCTATCTTAGAGAACAGGTGCCGATTGCCAGTAGATAACCATGTCCTTGTGATAAGTCCAGGCGAAGGGCGAGGTCCTCTTAAATGCTTAATTCGTGCGCAGGTACTGTCTTCGCCCCATGGGCCCGACGTGGCCCCTGCCCCCCTCTATCCTTTCGGCCGAAATGTAGGGCGGTCAATACAAGTTCCGGGCTTGGGGCCTGCCCCAAGGAGTGGAGGAGTGGGAGAGGAGAGGGGCTGGGGCAGGGGCAGGGGCAGAGGGCAGGGGGCAGGGGGCTGGGGCAGCCGAGGGGAATGAGAGCAGTATGCTGTCTGTAAGCACAAAAGCGAGAACATCAATTATTGGCCACAACGGTATCGGCGAATCCGAAGGCGCCCGTACAGATAAGAGAACATTATGAGTCCTCTCGCTGCGAACGAAAAGAGCACCTCCGCACACCTTCGTATTCGCCCCGGAAGATTCCCGGCTGACCTCCAGCTTCCGGTCACCCGCGAATCTCTGGCACGAGTTTATCCCCTCGCTCCCCGAGTCGCCCCCCCGTCGATGCCTTGTGCGTGAACCAGCCCCAGCCCCCTCCCTCCCTCCCTCCCTCACCCCCCTCACCCCCCGCCTGCCTGCCTCCCTGCCTGCCCCGTCGCGCACATAACAACAACCAGAACAAGAGGCAGGGGCAGCAGAGCACAAGCACAAATCCTTCCCCTCGCCCATCCATTCTTTACCTTTGCCAGCGGACTACCCCCCCAACCCCCCTCTCGACCATCATCACCACCACAGTTGCAGTATTGTTGTGGCTATGGCTCGGGAATCTGTCCACTCTACCGTGAAGTGAGAGAGAGAGAGAGAGAGAGAGAGAGAGAGGCCCCGGAAGGCGCAGGGTCTTCGGATTGGGTCGTGTGCGTACAAATCCACTGGCTGGCTTGCGGCCCCTCCTGATTTAGTCTGTAGGCTGCATCGTCGAGAAGAGCAGCAGCAGCAGCAGCAGCAGCAGCAGCAGCAGGGCGCGAGAGAAACGGAAGGAACGCCGAGAGAGCGAGGCGAAGAAGCGAAGCCCAGGTAAGAAGGGAAGCCACGAAAAGCACGGGCCAGGCGGGGCAAGGGATGAGATGGGATGAGGCGTAGATCCAGTGGTGTAGGTGCGTGGTAAGGGCGAGAGCGAGAGAGAGGATCACAGAGAGTGGATTCTAGAAGCACGGGAAGCGGGGCTTGTTTGTGTGACGGAATTGTGTTTTTCTCGCCTGCCTGCCTTCCTGCCTCTGCCTGCCTGCTTGCTCGCTCGCTCGCTCGCTTGCCTGCTTGCTTGCCCGCTTGCTTGCTGTGACAGTGGCAGCGAGGGTGCCTGTGGTAGGGGAGAGAATCGTGGAGCTTTTGTTAGAAAGTGGTGGTGGTGGTGGAGGTGGGGCGATGACGGGTGTGCTCCCGAGTCGGTGAGGCGCCTCACAATGAGGAAGACGAGACACTCCTAGCACGCAGCCCCTATAAATTGCAGAGATCGAGGGCCCTGAGAAAGATTTCTTCGAGCGAGTGAGTGAGAGACTGAAAGAGAGAGAGAGGGCTGTCGGTGCTCGCTGGGAATAGGCCCAGGATGTCATCGACGTCCATGGCCAGCGAAGGGAAGCACGAGGGAGGGCGATGAGGATGAGGGTTTAGAAACCGGGGAGACGGTTGTACCGAAGGGTAGAGGAGTGAGTGAGTCGATCAATCGGAACCGATTGTAATCAGTGTTGCTGTTGCTCGTGCTCCTGCAGGACGAGGCGAGGAAAAGAAAGACGATTAGGTTTCTTCTCGAAGGTCGGTCGGTCCATCGTCACCTGGCGCTTGGGCCTGCGCATTCTGGCGGAGAAAGCGTACTGAGATGGAGACGGAAGGAAGCGAGGAGAGGCGGCCGGATGCTCCTCCCGTCGGCGCTTCGGGGATCAAAATTCTCTTCACCATCTTCCCCATGTCCACTAGTAGGGCCCTTCAGGGAAATTCGAGTCTGTAGATTAGGATTAGGATAGGACGCGAGGATTAGTCTTAGGCGAAGGAAGGCGCAGAGCGTCGCTCATTTTTTTCCCGTGCCCATCGAGTCGATCATTATTCGACAAGGAGGAGGAGGAGGAAGAGGGAGGGAGGAGGACAACGACGAGGGTAGTTGCGGAGGTTCTTGGAGGCCGGATGAGAGAGCGAGAGGCTGATAGATGAAAGGACTTCTTGGCAGTAAAATTTCTTCGAGGGTTGAGAATTTCGCATGGTGGAATGCTGGGGACAAGGTTGGGCCTAAAGGGCATCAGTGGGGAGCCGATGGGCCGAGGCCCGCACGCGAACTGTGTCGTGAGCCGCTGCCTTCGAACCGGAAGGACCCGGCAATTTGCCAAATCTGCACTCTAGTCACACTCTTATGTACATTCGTGCTCAGTCACCGGAATCCTCCAACTGCTGCGGCAGTTTGGCACCCTTGGCCCCTCTAATCTCATCATCGCACTCCTCGAGGGCTGATGATGGAGGCAGGGGTATGTCCCCGGCCTCGCCTTTCTTCTCGCCGAGCGTAAGCTCCGCGAGCGCAGCAGCAGCAGCAGCAGATCAGCGGGCGCTCGATGCCGGCATCGGCATCGGCACCAGCCCCGCCAAGAACGTCGACCACATCAATGGCAGCAAGAGGAAGAACTCGAGCAGCATCAGCTTCCGCATCGACGACGGCTTCAACTATGGCGACGAGTTCGTCACCAGGCGGCGCGAGGGCGTTTTGGCCCCGCCGCCGAGAGCAGGGAGCGAGTACTTCCGCCCCAGAGTCGAGAGCCAGTGCTTGAGCACTGGGGATTTTTCCTCCGACAGCGTCTTCGAGAACGAGGATCGGATCGTCAATTTTGTGAGTCCGTGTAAGTCCGCCCTGGACGTGGAAGGGTGCGCCGAATTGGCGCAGTCGTGTAGCAGTTCTCTCCATCAGCATCAGCATCAGCAGCAGCAGCAGCAAAAGGAGACGCAGACGACGACGGAAGACTCGTCGAGCGTGCTGCAGCAGAAGTGGAGCACCTCGAGCTCCTCCGATAGCCTCAAAAGCATCAATCAAGACGATGATAGTGAGGAGAGAAGAAAGAGTGACCAATTTTCACTCAAGTCCGCCCTTAATGAAGATGCTCTCTTCTACCACCGAAGCTTCGGCGCTGCGCACCACCATCAGCAGCAGCAGCGGCCGGGCTCGCCCCCGAGCATCGGGCTACACCGGAAGTGGAGCGACTCCAGTTGCTCCCTCGACAGCATCGACCAGGAAGACGAGGACAAGATGGCGCCTGCCTTCCCTGGCTCTCATCATCACCACCACATGAGCAGCAACAACAACAGCAATGGCATTTCCAACACCGAGGCGCCCCGCCTTAAGGGGCTGTCCGGCATGCTGCACAAGAAGTGGAGCGCGTCCAATTGCTCCCTTGATAGCATCGACAACGACGACGACGAAGAAGACAACTACGAAATCGGCTCGCGATTCCCTCCGCTCATCGAGTCCGTCAGACTCAAGGATCCGAGCCCCATGTTCCACTGCCGGAACGACAAGGAAGGCCCCATCGTGTCCTCCTCGTCGTCCTCGATCGGCAACCGCAGCGAGGACAGCTCGGGCTCCGTGGTGTCGGATGTCGACTCCCCCGGAGACATGGAGGTGGAGTCCTCACTCCGCGGCGGCTCCCACAGCCAGCTCAACTTGAGCTCTCTGGAGTCCTCTCTCCCCATCAAGTGAGTCTCGCTCATCCTCCTCGTGCCTCGCAATCGAAACTCTCGAGCAGATTTCGTTTGTTTTCTTTCGTCTCTGTTATTCTGCGATCTGCGTTTGTGATCATGTCGATGAGATTGAGACCGAGAATGAGAATGCATACGAGGGGGCTTGCGCTTGGGCTTGGGGCTGGGGCTGGGGGTTGGGGGGGGGGGGGGGGGGGGGCATGAACGAACGTTTCGAGAAGTGGAGGCCGACGGGGGCAGTCTGCGGGGTTGGGGGAAGAGCGAGCGAGCGATGCGATGGTGGAAATGTGGTCGATGACTGACGAATGTGCGATTGCTTGTCGGTGCTTCGTTTTGCTTTTCCAGGAGAGGGTTGTCGAGATTTTGGAACGGCAAAGCAAAGTCCTTCGCGTTTCTGCAGGATGTGTCATCTCTGGCGACGCTGGCGGACCTGGCGAAGCCCGAGAACCCGTACAACAAGAGGCGCAGGTTCTCGTCGGGATTCGGGATGCGCCCGTCGTCTCCTCTGTCGCGGCCGCACACGGCCGGCATCTCCAAGAAGCCGCCTTCGGGGACAGGCAAGAGCTGCCTGGCCATAGCGGTGGCCATGGGCAGCAAGGTGGAGAATGGGCCCAAATGTCTGTCGCCCCAGTCGGCGCTGCGCAACGCGCAGCGATCCTTCTCTCTGTCGGATTTGGAGCACCACGGGATCAACCCGGACGTCTCTCACGCCCACGCCGCGGCGGCCAGCACCATGACGAGGATGCGACGATAGCGAAGCTCCGGGCGAGCGACCACGGGTTGTGGGGACCTTCAGGCAGTTGCGGCTGCCCTCCCTGGAAAATCTGGTCCGACGGTGCCTTCTGATAGATGATAGATGACGACGATGGATGATGCCTGGTGTAGCTGGGACTTCTTGTACCTACTTAATTCTTGTATATATTGAACTCATGAGTCATGCATGATCAATGGCACACCTCCCCTTTCCCTCCAGGAAAGAATAGCGCAATTTAGCAAAGATAGCTCGTGAGATAACAGTTAAGTCACAAGTCAATGTCACTCGGTGTACTCAGTAATTTTACTTTCTCAAAAACGTGTATTTTAGTTGGCAGATGCGTCTCGCAAGAATTTGTGGCTTGGCTTGATTTGCGTATTCTCGTCCATGGGTCGCCGTGGTCAGTGTTTCGTCGGGTCTCTGCGTCCTTTCGATTCGGATTATGGTGTTCGGGAAGTGCCATGTGGATGAGGGAGGGAGGGAGGGGTGTGCTTTGATGACGGGATCCTATGCTCTGATGATCTCATGAGAGATTGGAGGTGGTCCAGGAAGTTATCCAACTCTTGTCCGGATGAATGAAGCGTTGGGTGAATAAGTGAGTGAATGATTGATTGTGATAGGAATGAATACGTTTTCTTCGTCCGGGAACTCACTCCATCGTCGCAGACTGGTGGCTGCGTGGGATTGTGCCGGATGCCGGATCGATCGCTCGGCACTTGGCCGTGGCATGTCCCACAGAGTGCTCGCAGATTGGCAGAGGAAATTAGGAAGGAAAGAAGGATTGGTAAGATCGGTGAGATGGATGCTGATGCAGCAGCTCAGCGCAAGCTGCTGCCGGGATTGTAGTAGCGACAATGGAGTCGTCGGCGGTGTCGTCTCATCGTCGGGACACGTGTGGAATGTGTCGTCGCTTTTTCGCCTCACTGATATGGCAGAGTGTCATCCTTCCGGGTCACGTGGGCACTTTTGACCGTGTAATCGAAGATGAAGCCCGCTCTCATCATTTTTAGCGATGCAGCGAATTCTCGTGATTCTCGCGTTACGACGGTGAGGATCGGGGTGCCGTGTACTCTCCTTTCCCCTCAGGATTTCGAGTCTTCGGGGGCTCTAGCCCAATCGTCCCTCTGCCGACGAATGTTGCTTTTTAATTTTAATTGGTCGATCTATGTATATGGATCGATTGATTGCTTGCTTGCATGCTTGATTTCTCTGCGTGCGAGCCATCCATCCACCATAATGTTCTACGACAGATCGGAGATAGAGGTCGTGAAGTATGTGTCGAGCTGCGAAGACTGCTGCACCTGGCTGCCCTGCTCGAATGCGTACAATGAATGACTAATCGAGGCCCAATGCCGAAGTCCTTGGGGGCCGGGTCCGTTTGGCAACCAAACGCTATCTATTTATTCTTCCCTCCTCCTGAGCACGGTGCCACGGTCGGGATGGATAATATTTCGGCACTCTGCTCAAAATGCAGACTCTGGCAGGTGAGGATCACAGGAGTGGCTTTGTTTGACTTTTGATATGGTTGGAAACCTTAAGATTAAGATTTGTGTATTTGTGGAACGAGGTGCAAGCTGACGATTCCAAACTACCCACGCTTGGCGCGATGGAGGAGTGTGTCGGGGGCGTTTCTATCCGTGCGTCGGTTGGATCGGCTGTTGGAGCCCAAGCCCAACAATGATCACGAGCATGCGAGCTCGATGCCTCAACGAGGAATCGTAATGCGCGTGGATCCCAGCTCGCGCGAGTATTCTTCGCCAGCTCTGCGGGTCATGAGCGCAGCCTCCGTGAGCGAGAGTAGGGCGATTGCGCGCGCGCGCGCCCCCATGGAATCGGTGATAAGCTTGTCACACACACCCACGATCTCGGAAACCTGGGATCGACGTCCTGCTCAATGCGCTCGCTCGTTCCACGGGGAGGCGGCCAGCAGCAAGGCACACGCATTGACCGACGAGCGATGGTGGGTGGAAGGAAGGAAGGAAGGCAGGCGGGGAGAAATATCGTCTCCAAGCTCTCTGATTGATTGCCTGATGTCAGAGAAGCTCAGAGCATGACGGCCTCCGTTCAAACATCCGTCTCGCCGGAATGGAATTCCATTTCGGACCTCGCTGGCCCCGGGCCCGAGCTGCAGCGCTCTGCCTGCCAGAGCAATCAATCTCACGCAGCCTCTGGAAAAAGTGAGCTCCGTCGTGGTTGTCGTTCTTCGGAAGGAATCAATGGATGGATAGCTCGCTCTCTCGCTCGCTCGATCGATCGATCGATCGATGATGGGTTGGTTCTCTCGCAGTGGGCATCGTTCTGCATCAGCTTTCGGGCGCTGCGATGCTGCCAACAACATCGACCTCCTTTTCGTGGAAGATTCGACCGCGGAGACAAAGCTTCCATGGCGCCCACGTCGTTTTGTTGCTTCAGGGTGAGGGAGGGCATGCCGAGTGATGTGCACATGTACGCCCCCGGAGAGAAGGCGCCGAAAACGACGGCCCCATCCGGCGACGCCATGCTCTCGCTTCCTCCGAAAGCCCATCTCATCCCCCACCCACCGCCATCGCCAGCCTTCGCCGTCGTCGACCGCAACGGCGAAAATGCTGCAGCAGCTGCTGCTGCTGCTGGTGCGCCGAGGCGCCCCGAATATTCTTATCCCCAGCCCCGGCCCCGGGGCTACCGAAATAGAATGATTCCCCTCGCCCCCGCTGCGGTGAACGCTACAGGACGAGCGAGCTAGCCCCTTGCTAAGCACAGTGCTGCCCCCATTGGACCAAGCACCCCCTTCCCCTTACACCCCGCCCGATTAGGCTGGAGCCACAGCAGCAGCAACGCGTGCAACCACCGCCCGATTTAGCCCCACCCCCCGGACTTCGTCAGCTCTCCCCTCCCCTTCCGGAATTGCCAATCGGTTCAGATATTTTTCTCCGATTCCGGCGTTCGTGCATTGATGCTCTCTCTATCTCTATCTCTCAGGGACGAGGCACCTGCTCGGGTCGATGGGGGTTGCACAAACGGATTTTCTGTCTCTCTGAGGTCCCGAGAGAATGGTGCGCTGGTAGCGACGACTATTACCAGAATTGGCTGGGGGGCGATGTGATCGTCGATCCGATGAAGTAGTCGATGAAATAGGAGACGAGGAAGTGCAGAGGGCAGGGCAGGGCATTGCAGTGCAGTGCAGTGCACGAGCGGATGGGGTTGGGGAGGGAGATAACAGTAAATAGAAGTACCTCTTCGGGGCTAACCTCCACTTCCATAGATTCCGTTCTATGGGATTCCTCGACTGGACTGGACTGGGGCTGGGGCCGGGGCCGGGGCCGGGGCTTGGGCTTGGGCTTGGCTGGAGGCCCGGGGGGAGGGGAAGGGGGAAGGGGGGGACTGGATTGGAGTGTACAAGCGAGCGAGCGCCGGGTACATCTTTCGCCGCTGACGCCCGCCTCCATCGTGATGCGCACGTGACTGCGAATCAAATTCTGATCGCCGAGGGGCCGGACTGGGGGGCTGCTCGTTGTGGATAAGTTTAGGGTTGCCCGGGGCTCGGGCCTCGGTGGTACAGTGCCCATTTCCCACATCAGCCAATGCGTTTCAGATTATGATTCTCGGGAATTTCCTCCTCCTCCTCCTGCTCTTCCTCGCACAGAGCACTTTTCGATTGTACTCGCTCGCTTGTCCCTTCCCATGCGTGCCGAACTGGATGATGCCCGCTCTGTCTTTTGCCCCTCATTTATCCCCTCCCCCCTTCCCCTGCCTCGCTATGATGACGGCCCTCCCCTTCCCCTTCCCATTCCCCTTCCCCTCCCTGCCTGCCATGCTCTGAATCTCTGATCCGTTCTGATCCATTCTGCCAACGGTCCGGTCCGTCACTCGCCTTTACATGTGCAGGACGAGGGGGCTCTGACAGAGAGTGGGCGACGGGGCGCAGTCCAATCCGATGCTCAGGGGGCCTCGCCAGCCCATCACGCTCGCTCCGGCCCGAGTCCCCACCGGCTTGTGTACTCGGAGCGACACCCTCCTCTCCTCCTCTCCCCCTTCAGTGAATCACTCTTGCGGGACTGCTGCTGCTAAATCCTCGAAAGCTGACGATGCCTAGTTTGCGCGTTTCGTCGTTCCATCAATGTCCGAGTGCGTCGATCCAATCACGAGGCCAGCTGCAAAATCGAAACGTGACCACTCGTCGTCGTCGTCGTACCATCGCTAGATCACCGAGCGAACCAGTCCTATCGCCCGCAAGTGTGTGTGTGCGTGAGGTGAGGTGGGCGGATGGACCATCGCTTTCGTACTCGCCCCGCAGGCCCAGCCAGCCAGCCAGCCAGCCAGCAAACCCAATCAATCAAATAATCGCTCGCCTGCGGTGGCCAAAGTCATTTTTAAGTCTCTGCTCTCGCTTTCTCCCTCTCGCCTTCACGTAGCGTCAGATTTTACACGAGAATTCGTCGTCATGGCTCGCGAGTGCAGGAGGGTGAGGAGGGCACGTCCGGGGCAAACTCTCATGCCCCGCCCTCCCTCCTCATGATTCGAGGCGGTCCAATTAATTTCGGGGGTCAGTGGGACGGATAATTTATTCATGCAGACTTAACGTAACGGAACGAATGATCCTTATCGAGATCATCATACTTTTATCCGAACTCTGCATAAAGTCCGAACGGTTACGGCATTCTCATAATGCCTATCGACTTTCAGAATCTTGTTTTCCGATCCCCTTCTCCTGTTGCCGCCTATAAATATAATCTCCTGTTGCAGAGAGTTACTCAAAAGATAACTTCGAAATGTTAAACTCATAAAAAGGTTGGAAAACAAATTCGTACCCTTTAGAATGCATTTATCATGCATCACCGTTTTTTAAAGAATTCAAACCTTTTTTCCTCCACTAGTATTATGCAAAAATTGAGTTTGATTGGACTCCATAATTTTCACATCTAAAGACACCGTGTGAATCTATTCAGATCCTCAAATATTTTATCACTTGCACAGAAGTCATGTTTCAATACTTCGCTTATAACTACATCACTACATACTATAACTAATTTAGAAAAATTGAATAAACCTCTGTAAGATCTACAATGTTAGAAAAATATCGTTTATGGTTTTTTCTATGATTTTTTTAAATATATGGATTATAATTTATAATGTGGTATTTTATGAACATCATCGAGAAGAAATCTTCTCTAGATTGATAAACGAGCATCGAGCATTACGTACAAAAGGTAAATTGGTCAAGCCGTTCACGTGTTGTGAGGGTAAGATGTGACGTTTGGAGACATTGAATGTAGATCACCGTAGTCTAGCTTTAATAACGAAACACTTCTTTTATGTGTGGACATGAACAGTGCCACTAAGCTGGTGTACTGCCTTCTGCATAAATTTGGAACCTCCAGAGAGTACAATATGTCTGGATCTACTTTTCTACATGAACTGTCCTATGATTTATGATGGAATCTTGTGAGGAAGATTTATAAGTGGAAGCATTGTTGTGTTCTGTAATAAGATAATTGATATTAAATCGACATATACGTGCATGCCGTCTTGTACGAATTCTGTCTTTTACATTCATAATTTTCTTGTGGAATATAAAGATCTTGCAGCTAGTGATGGAAAATCCTATCTATGATATCTGCACTGTGTTTTTTTAAACTGTTGTCTTGTTCGTGACTTTGCATGGTGTGAGATTGACAGTATGTCTTTCCTACCACCTTCAAAGCCAATCTATTCTCCCCGACCTTTTCTGAGACCTTTCTCTCCATTCGAGTGTTCCAACGCGTTCCCCATATTTTATGCTGGCCCCCAGTCGCTTTGTACGACATCACGCTCAAATTATTTTGTTTCCGACCAAAGACACTCATCTCTGAAATATTGCGTTCTCTTGCTCTACGTGTCTACGCATTCTCCAGACAGTATTTGTCTGGATATATTTCTATGTGGAAAACGAATAGGATTGCATGCGGCGTTGGGTCCTTGGTCTCCTATGAGAACTACTTTCTGACGCCTCTTTGTTTTAACTGTACATTGTATAAGTGTTAGACGATGAAATTAATCTTTTGTTTGCTCTATGTCTTTTGAGAGAAGATCAGAAATCTTGCAGAGATGGAAACAAACTGACAAGTGTATCGATGAAGTATATAATAATACTTTTGCAAAGTCTTTCGTACAGATGTGATTAATAGCTTTCAGTTTTTCAACTCTTGGTTTTGATAGAATGTTCACATGAACTAAAATTTTAAAACAAAGTTTTTATCTTAAAAAAATATAATCAGAGCGTATTGTTGATCCACACGAATGAGTAGACTAGAAGTTACAATGTTATTTACACTAAAGCGTAATTATGAAGATTGCACATAGAGTACATAGTTATTGAAGAAAGTAGTAAACATGCAACATAACGAACGAAAGCAGTAAACATGCTTAAAATCTTCCTCGAATATTATTGGCAGCAAAATCCATTCTAAATTATGTATTTGTTATTGTCAAGCTACTCGAGCGCAGTGTTGACTTGATGTGTGAGACTATGTATACATGCATGCAAATGGTAAATGGTAAATGCACGTTTCGCAAAGACACGAGTATAGACAAATGAAAGCAAATTATATATTAAATTCAAGCAGGAGGTGCCAGTTTCTTCTAGAGTTATATTGCAGAACACTTATTGAACCGGTCACCATCTGATTTCTCACATGCACACTGTACTGTAATCATAAAACTAACTCTCAATGGAAATGGCATTGCAACCTCCGAGAATCGCTGGACAACATAACGGACGTTAATTCATCATACACTGAAATGTGCCTGCTGCCACGAGAGCCGGGACGAATGATACCGATGACAGCTTTGCCCTCTCAGAGAAATCATCCACCGCCTCGCTCACATCAAGAAATTCTAAACCTCCTCACTACGCAGACATCCTCGCCGCTGAAAACCGTCGACCGCCGCATGAATTCGGTCATTTATATCCGAGCTCACGTTAAAGCAACGTAATACACGTTCATGCTGAGTTGACCGCACACGTTAACCGGAGTTTCATCACGGTTAAACGATACGTGGCGGGTTGAGTGCGATCGCTGAACATAGCAGTTAACTCCGAGGTCGGTGACCGGTTGTAGGAGGTGAGGTGAGGTGCGAGTCGCGGGGCCTCACTAGCCGTTCTGCCAAAATGTCCGCGCTGTCAAGCACTCGTCGTCGCCAGCCGGGGGCTCTCATAATTGAGAAGAAACTTCGAGACTCGTCTCGCCGATCCGGCGCATGATGCAAGCCCAATCGGCGAGAAGACGAGACGGGACGAGACAGACAGACAGACAGAGAGACGAGCCCTGCTGCTGACTCAGATCGATCCACCGAGTGACCCTCTCGTGATCGGAGAAAGAAAAGCAGCAAATCGATGCGCAAAGATCAAAGAGCAAATTTTGAGCTATCAGAATGATTTGTCCGTGGCCTGGGCGAGCTGTCGGCCGAGTTGGCCGCAAGGATCGGGTCAGGCCAAAGAGCTCACACGAGAATCGGAGTCAAAATGCCCGATCTCTGTTTCACGATCTTTGACCATGCATGGACCCAGCAAGGCAGATGGAGATGGAGAGTGAGAGCGAGAGAGAGAGACAGGGAGAGAGAGAGAGAGCGAGAGCGAGCAGAGCAGAGCAAAGATCCTACCTGTTCCCTTCATGCATCTTGCCTGGTGACTCTTGCGGCCCCGTTCCCGATGCGAGAGTAATCAAACCTGCGGATGAGTTGTTGACAAGACCTTATCCTGGAGCAGGTGAGCTGACCCAGAGGCAAGAAAGAAATTACTCAAAAGGAGCGACGACGGATTTGGTCGGCCACAGCTACGATCGAGCTGCTCATCCCATCCCACCCCACCCCGCATACTTCGACCACCATCATACGTCTCGTCTGAGTCTGAGTCACTACGTACTCGACGGTTTGGAATCTTGTGCTCGATTCTCTCTCTGCGTCGGAAATATTTGCGACACGATTCTACCTCGATTGTGCCTGTACTGTCCCGTACTGGAGCCCCAGTCCTTCCAGGTCCATGTGTCAGCGTGTCCGAGTCTGAGTCCTTCGCAGTGGATGAGTAATTGACAGAGTTCAGGAACTTTGGAACTTCCTTTCGTGGGCCAAATGAGGTGCATGTATGTACAGACAGACCATCGAATGGTATAAGCCAGAGTACAATACGCTTCACTTGGACTCCTCACCCTCCCTCTCTCCCTGTCATCTCTCTTCAGCGGTGCATGGATTTATCGGTTGGATTTGATTCCGATCGGTTCGATTGCATCCTCCCTCCGGTGAGCTGAATGTAGAACGACACTGGTGCCGAGATTTTGCTCGCGAGGTACTGTAATTCCACGGAAGGAACAGCTTTAACCGAACGCACAGTTGCTCTCTACGACGGGAGAAGTCAAATTACGTACAGCGTGTGTCTGATTACGACGTATTGATGCCCTGGTTGCGACTTATTTGACAGCACGAGATGAACTGTCTGTTGGGTTGGGTGGACTCGGTCTAGAGGGGGCAGTACAGTAGGCCAGCACTGTTCTGGATAACTGGGATGGGATGGGATGGGGTGGTCATGTTGACAATAATCCGACCCTCGTTCAGGCAGTTAGTGATTGATTCCTCTTGGAGGTATTCTGTGTCTGTCCGGTTTCAGCTGGTTCCCTCGCGCTGTGAGAATAATGTCCCCGCGATGTGAAGTATCATCACCAAGAATTCGCAGTGTAGGTGCCCACAGTGAAATTACGCGCACATGTCTCGAGCGAACCAAAACTGTTGGGTTGTGTTCTCGGGAGTACCGTCTGTGTTAATAAATTGCAGCCAGCAATTTGTTGGTACGGAGATCAAGATGATTGAAGAAATCAACCCTGAGCTTTTGAGAGCTGACTTACTGAATCTGTGTATCAGCAGCAGCAGCCGCCTAAGCAAGCAGCCTATGGAAGATGACGCCAACGCAGCTCTAGTCCATCCCACCATCACTTCGCATCACTCATGGCAGCAGGGTGTATGTAACAACAGAACACATTGGAGCTCCAAACGAGCTTTGACAAAAACAATATCAGTCCTCTGTACTTTCCAGCAGCAGCTCATATCACATCCAGTACATAAATCCATCCGAGCCATGCAACTGTAAAGAGCTGTGCGTGAACCCGTCTCCCAACCTAATACGGATATGGATATGGCGAGAGACAGTCTTGCGAGATTTAATACTTCGGTCACCGTCTTCATTATTGCCTTCGAACTGTTTCTTCTGCGACAACCAGCATCCGACACAGAGCTATTTGCAGCTGATGCTGAAGCACTTGGGCAAGAGATCAAGGACAGGGTGACTGGCTTCTACTGGTTTGGGGAGTTCAAATCGTAACTGCGCAGTGCAAGTTCAGTTGTCAAGTCTTTACTCCCGACAGATTGGAAAACACTTTTTTATCTCCGCTGTTGTGGGGGTTACCTCTCTCATTGTTAACTGGTCCAATTCATCAGATGAACTTTAGGGAGTTGATACCAAATATTTTACAATGCTACACCTGGCAACATGAACGACAAATTTTGTTTTACTTCCTCTATCTTTCCCGACTTCAAACCTCAATGTTGATTTCTCTTTGATTCAAGAGTTCTGTTTGCACGTCTATTGCCGCCTCCCCCATTCAAACCTTTTTCTAGGCTCGTGCCATCTTTTATGCTCTTACTCTCCTGTCCATTTACATTAAGGTGAAGTAAAATACATTAGTCCGGAAAAAATTTTCTTCTTGAGTTTAATCGGAGTCAGTTTCCCTTTGGCTATTTCAGCTTATGATACTTTCTGCGGATCCACGGTATGGAAATCGTCTATAGTACAAGTCTGCAGTGTATTAAGTCAACGAAGTAAGACATCAAAGCTCGAAGTCTTAAATGCCTTCCCTTCTCGATATGTGAACATCTTCTCTCCCTCCTAATGATACCGGTGACAAATGGTCCGGCACAGCGCGTCTATGGATTCGTTACTGCAAATTCTCGAGTCAAAAACTGTGAAAGTTGAAATTTTTGTCTCCACACGTGCTGTACTTGGAAGAAATTCGAAATTTTCTTAAATGATCTCATAAAAACCGTAAACTCCCCAGTAAAAGGGAAACACGTTTTGAACAAGCCATCGAAGTCATGCTCAATCAAGGTTTTAGATTATCGGCTCGACTCAGCAGCCTCGTCAGCCCAGGGTCCAACTTTACACATCCTTCTCATCATGTACGCGGATGGGTTAGGGAGACCGCGAGACTCATAGATTGGTCCTCGCTCGGACAAGTCAAGAGTACTCGGAGATCATCGGCGGTCGAGAAAGATTCACTACAGGAGTCTGTTGTTAAGAATTGAGTTAGGTTTACATACTCCACCATTTTGATGAACAGGTCGCCTTGCCACCGTATGGTCTTCGAGTTGTGACAGGTCGCATATTCTGAGGAAGTTTTAGTAAACAGTTCAGTAAATCGAATAGCTCATCGACACGGATTTAAATGCATGTAGTCGATCTGTATGAAATTTCTGTTTGCGCTGGTATCCACCTTTTACTTCATTTCAAGTTCAACTCAAAGTCTTTGTCAATCGACATTTCTTTTGTCATGTCTCCCAAATCTAGTAAGATCATCAAGTGACAAGATTCGCATCGCCATGATTGCTAGAAGTTGCGGAAGCACCGACAGTAGAGTTTGCCATAGTTAGTATATGAGCTTGACAACCTGTTTGTGATTTATTGGAGGCTTCCATGTGTGTACACTAAGTTGCGAACTTTTCTCAGATTTGTGATCGCCGTTGCTACTACAATGCTAAAGTACAGCTAAAGGCGATGTATGTAGTTGAAACCTTACCTTGCTGTGTACATGTCATGTGAATTATACTTGTTCCTTCAATTTGTTACCATCGACAATTTGCTCAAAATGATCAAAAAAACTTACCTTGACATAGGAATCTTGAAAGTGAAAAGAAGAGTGTATCAGAATTTTCGTCAGAATTTTCTTGAACTCATATTGGTAGCATGTGAAACTGAAGTTCTCGTGGTTTACGTGCATACATTGAGATATGTTTCCTGACGAAAGATTCCCTCATACCATACACTTGACCCAGCAGAGCTTGCTGTGTGATCGATTGACCTCCAATACAAAAAGGTCACGTGTCATGTTAATTGAGCAGATTCGGAATCATACAATCACGCTGAGAACAGTTGGTGGCTGCAATTCGGCACAATATTCGGTACATGTGCGATACACCGTATATTGCATTAGATGAGGCGTTTTAATACCCACGTTGCTAAGGACATTCGAAAGACCAAGATATACAACAATGCATTTACTTATTGAAATCTGACAGATATATATGAAGGAGGACACGACCTCCTGATCTATGGTTACAATCCCAGTGTTTCATCCGGTCCAGTTTTTACATTGTCTAGCTGTCTCGACGTGCCAGACTTATCGGTAGCTGCGGTATGCAGGACTGTACATGCAGCTGTAAGCGTATTCCAGCAGATCTGCTGGTTGGGGAAGCCGTGTGGCCAAACCTGCAATGGACGACGTGAACTCAAATCAGGGCTCAAGGATGATAGAAAAACTCTCGAAACTCGTAGACGTTCCAACAAAATGTGATCCATGATCTCAATCGAGCACCCGAGCTATCATGCTCATCTTTAAAGAGTGGATCAACCATCAATGAGGCAGACGTCCTTCTTACCTAATGTGTATGCTTTCTCGGCCACAGAGGCAGCTATGTGTGCTGATATATCTCGAATATTTTCCAGTGGAGGGTACAACATTCCCTGATCCAGTTGCTCCTTGGTGAGGATCTTTCCCAACGCCACGGCTGCTCCAATCAGTCGACAGAATTTGGTCAGTGGAATTACCTGTGTCAGCTGCGAGAACCGTTCAACTATTCTGCCGATTAACCAGTGCGCACTTTCCACACTGTCAGTGCGCACAGTTCCAGATTACCACCACGACGACCAATCACAAGCGGTGGTAAGTCTTTGGTCGATGTATTCAACCCCGCGGACGAACCAGTGTGAGTGAGGGAGTGAGGGAGCGAGTGCAGGGTGGTTCATGTGCATTGCATCATGGCGGCCACGTCTGAGCGTCGTGACTCATCTGGTGGATTTGGGATGACACTTTGCCGCCCTGATGCTTCCCAGCTGAAAAGACCTCAGCTTCGACATCATGGAATTCTTGTGCATTCCGCTGTCGTCACATGTATAACATGCTCGGAGGGTTACTCGGTGGGAAGAGGGACAGCGAACACGAGAGTCGTACTGTAATGAGTGCTGCCAAAACCTGGGGCATACCCCGACCGTTCTGATTGTTCAGATGGGAGTTTGCATGCTCCTTCGGGCGATCGATGAAAAGTTGCTCCACCTGTCGGTTTCCTACTGATTGACGAGTCCGACTTATGTGTAAAGAGAAGGCGAATAGGTGGAGTTGGATGACTTACAAGCTGCCAAGAACATGTCGTCATGTACTCGAATAGCTCCCGAGATTATGCAGCCGAGCCCGACGCCAGGAAAAATGTAGGCGTTGTTGGACTGAAAGGCAAAGATTCCGAAACCCCGCTCGTCAGAGATTGTCAGTGATCCTGGACGACTTTCGCCGTCGACAGACTGAAGAAGAAGGAGATCCTTAAACGAGAGAAATTGTCAACGGATTGGCAATAAGACGCAGCCTTGAGAGCAAGTTGCGTCTGTCCTTGTGTGTGATGGGTGTAGTTAGGACTTCCTTTTTACCTGACCAGGAGTGAAAGTCTTCCCCTTGTATTCTACAGGGTCAAACGGACTTCCACTTGCAAAAATTCCACGTCCCTGAAGGCCAATGTTTCACCACTGTGAGTTACTCAAGCATTAAACGAACCGCTTCGTATTCTGATTCAGATAACTATTCACCCTTCCGCACCAGCTAGAAGGGTGAGCAAACCCGAATCACATGGCGATTAGTGTGTAAAATTGAAGGACACTGGACGTCAGCATGGGATTGAGAAGAGGATCCTTAAGACTCTATACATCCAGAAGATGGGTGTGGGCTTGTTCTCAGATTCATGCTTACTTCGGTATGCGTATAAGCCTCCTGAGCTGTACACTCTGACTTGGAAGTCGGATTTGACAAGGCCAAGATGATGGGTCTCTGCACACGAGTTGAATCATTAGTGCGGAGTTCTCAATACAGAGACTGCTCCAGAGAAGATCCACGGTGAATCTGACATGTCCACTTCTCTTTCAATTTAATGAAAAATTGGAGGACTTAGTTGAAACTGTAGATGCATCACCTTGTTGAAGGAGGCAACAGCCTCCAAAACTTCCTTCGTGAAAGTTCCTCTCTGTCCCGATGTCCCTATGAGCACAGAAGGTTTCAAAGCCTGCATCACGTGATTTGTCATGTCAAATCACTTTGTCAGGCCGGATATTGATTGGTCCTCTGCGTATGTTTAAGGATAAACTAGTCACGTCCAGGACCAAAAGACTTTCAACACTCCATCAACTTGCACGTCATGACCAATTCAGATTGGTGTAGACAGCTATCAAAACGCTCCAACTCTTACCTTCGTAGCTTCCAGGAGGTCTTTACATTCTTTGTGCTCGTGAGCGTAGTCCTTCTTGAACTGAGCTAAACTTTCAAATCTGGATTTCACTATCAGGCCCTGCGGAAGAAAAAGAGAATGATCGAACTGGTCAGATACAGTGTTTCACTTTCATTCTAAAAAGTTTCCTGATAAAGTAAATACATTGTTGAACTAAATGTACAACTCATATGCTACGAATATACTAACAGACTTCTGTAAGCTTGAAAATTATCGTCTGCCACCAGCTCAGTTAGATCTCGAAACGTCAACTTTCATTCTGCCTCGAATTACTGGCACGATGCGAAAAAGTGGGAAAGGATGACTTTTCGATATCCATATACCTTCGAGTCAACCATCCATATCTTCTTCCGAGCTTCGTCCAAGGTTATCTTCCCCTGCAAGTAGCATTCTCACGGCAGTTGGTATAGCATTCTTTACATTGATGTGAAGCATGCATGTAGATTACAATATTTAAACAATGTATTACATTGGCAGAAGATACAAGGCAGATAATGCACTTCTAGTCAAAACGCTTTCAGCTCACGCTCTCATGCATCCAAGCTCGTGCGAAACAGTAATAAGTGTCTTATCGAGACTCACCTGCTTTGACACTTCCAGAGCAATGATTTCAGCAATACCGGTTCCTGCCTGCGACGAGAATATGACTTAGTAAAGGAGTCGAAACCTTGCAAGCTACGTGATGTTCATAAACTTCTTAGGAGCGAAGATCAAGGCTTTAAATGCACAGATTCCGATGCTGTAGACCATAACTTCTGTATGGGAATGGAACCAGATGCTCACCTCCCCTGCACCATTGAAGAGGAATTTATGATCCGCAAGAGTTCCTCCAGTCAAGGGCAAAGCTGCAACGACTCCTGCCAGAGCTACGGCTGCCGTCCCCTGTAATATGGGAACGAGTAAACTAATGGATTAGTTACTGTGCACTGTAAGTCTAAGAACTAGGCGCAAGGCAGGGAATCGTTATCCTTGGGATGATTACATCGATCTTTGCAGCGGTAGTCACCTACAACATTCTCCTGCCTCCATATCGTTTAAGAAACTCATTATCTATCTGGACTTCCCAAGGTGGTAATTACAGATAAGAAACGCAATCACGGATATGCAAAGATCGATTAGTAGTCACTCTGATTGCGAATAGAAGGAAATGATTGTACAGGCTTCAGTATTATAAAATGAATCTGGTCACCATCGAAGCATAGTTCATCGAATGAGACTTAGGACAAGTGGATATATTTACCTGTATATCATCATTGAATGTGAGATGAGTCGATGCGTATTTCGCTAGCAAGCGGAATGCGTTGTGATTGGCGAAGTCTTCAAACTGAAACAGACCTTTCATTATCTTAGGAGGAGATGTGGTCAAGAGGAAAAAACGTTTTTTGAAAAGACTTTGGTTTGGCCTTTTTACTAAACTGCACTTGGCTTTGTGGAACCAGTGAGGTAAGGGCCTCTAGAATGGGGTCAGGGAAAGGCAGAATCTCTTCATCTATCGGCAACCTTGACTCTGCTGGAAAATGCTTACCTGAACAAGGACTTTCTCGCCGTATGCTTGCTTCACTGATGTCATAAACTCCTCGATGAGATCATCGTAAGCCTTAAAAATAATAACAATTGGTGGTCACATCTCACAGCACTAGGACTCAATTCAGAAGAATGTGGATGACATGCACAACTTGGTGCATGACAGAGGCACACAATGATTTCACCCTTATTTTGAGGGAATTGGGGATAAGGGCCTCACCTGGCCAGTGACACGCTTCTGTCGTAAGCCGAGGTACATAGGATCATTCATTAATTCCTCATTGTTTGTGCCAACATCTATAGTGATTGGCAGACACTGCACAAGAATCAAAGTTTCCCTCAGCATTCAAATCCTGCAATAAATTGATCTGAAAACTGATGATTTGATACATTTGTCCCTTGTTGTCATGAACTGAACATCAGTTTGCAAAGCTTCTCCCAAAGAGAAACTTCTGCACTATTTGAAGTTTTAAACTAAGAGAAACTTCATCATGAGACTCACCGCAGAAGGTCGGATTCCTCCCAGAGCTGTGTACAATGCAAGTTTTCCAACTGGGATCCCCATACCCTGTACAAACACAAACATCTCAAGACCAACCTCTTTGAAGTCTCATATGGTCACTTGCTCTAGAAGAATTAAGTCCTATTTTAGACAAGAACAATGCTCAAGAAATGGAAAAGCAATCCTTATCTATGGAACTTTTAAATATGAATATGAAAGAAAATACGAGGTAAAGATTAAGGCAGTAGTAGCTAACCTGAAGTCCAAGGTCTCCTAGACCAAGAATTCGCTCTCCGTCAGTGACAACAATAACTTGAACACTCGTTTCTGGCCAGTTTTTCAAGACATCTAGGACTCTGCCCCTGAAATTCGCCCAAGCAACAACTGTTTTAAGCCGAACATCAGGGTTTCAAGATTAAAAGCTTCATAACTACACGCATCCCCATGTTCAAGCAGGCAACAATGAGCCCTGCCAAAGGAAGAACATCAAAATGTTCGTTGTTTTATGCACTTTTCAGGTCATGAACCTAGAGATCCTTGGATTCCAATATCCAAAGATCTCTAGGTTTTTTGCACCACATACTACATCTCTTGCAGATATGGGGAGAACAGAGGTACTACAAGGGAGAATAAGCTCCTAGTACCTGTCCTTAAGGCTTATGTAGAGTCCATGTGGGCGTCTGAAAATGATCCCATATTTTTGGCAGGCCTCGCCGACAGTTGGAGTGTAGACAACGGGTAGAAGCTCAGTCACATGATCAACCAGGACTTTGTAGAACAAACGTTCGTTTCTCTCCTGCTCAACAGTCAAACCCACCCGCATCAAAGTCCATCAGTTCAGCGAATTCTCAGTTTTCTAAAGCTTATCTTTGATACTCGTGTTCTCCGGGCAATGCATTAGTACAAGCCAGGAAATAAAGAGCACATAATAAATGTGCTGAAATTGAATTCCAAAAGGCACACTATCACCTTAAGTTACCTGAAGTTCCATCAAAGCCACATATTTGTCTAGAGGATCCTCACATTGTCGTATGTTGTGCATGATTCTTTGAACCTGGATGGCAAGTGGAAAATCAACTCAACGGCTTTAAAATAAAGAAAGCTAATTGAGCTATATGGCAGAAGGTTTCGTTCGTTCTTCATTTGTCGATTTAAATAAAGTGCAGCGTCGACTTGTTATATTAATTACGCGGATGATACGTTTGACGGTACTTCTTGAGTTTTAATAGGAGGGATCTCTTTACGAAGACTTTACGACGTGAAGAAACAGGACGAGAAGTACAGAAATCACCTGAAGCTCCTGAGACATGTGAACAGGGGGCAGAAGCCCTCTTAAATAATGATGATCCCTTTCGTCTTCAGTGAAAGCTAGACCCTTATTAAACCTTGGGTCTCTCAGTAGCTCAACTCCACTGCTCATCAGGTGCCAACGAACAAAAATAATAAGTATTTAACAGCTAGCGTATCCCATGTCCATATAAATTGCAGGCTGCATCGATCTAAAACATATAATTTGATTCCAGATTTAAAAGACAGCCTCGATCTATGATAACAATATACAGCATGCAGTATGATTCACCTGGCGACCATGCGAACCCACGGGGTGACCATCTGATTCTCCGAAGCAGTATCCTCGCCATACCGATCTTTGATTCCACCATGGGGTGTTGCAGACGAATCTTCCTTATCCAACCCTTGGGGTGTTGCCCTGATTTCATTTAGTTGGCTCTCCATGACTTCTGCTCTGAAGAATCAACGTGATGATACAATTCAGCAGCTAAGACGCTGGATCCGCACTTAAAGCTAAAAATAACGTAATTCTTGGCATCAGTCTTCCTCTCATGCTAGACTATGAGAGACATGCTGACCTTTGAGACAAGTCACTGAACTGACAACTAGGAAAGCGAGTTTGTGAGCTATGGCTTTAGAGGCCCCCCCAGTCCATTTCCATAAGTCTGAAAATCATCAACATAAAACTTGCGATGACCACATTCAGACTGATTTAGGCGTCAGCCTCACGGTCCTTAAATCTCATCCACACTCAGAATACTCAGACTCTGTTCACACTTGACATGTTACTATGCTTCATGGACTGTGTGCAGGCATTGTCATTCGGCTTCTAACATTTCCTCTACAACGACTGCCTTTTACACTTTGATTTGCTTCAGAATACAGTCCTCAATCTTACATATGCATATCCAGCAAAGGGCAAGATATAATGGAAGGAGAAAAATGAGGAGGAGGAGAACAAGAGACGAAATGGAGATGAAATGCATTGGCTGTCTCAGTCAGGTCTAATTTCCTCGCAGATGTTTACAAAAGCATCTTCGAATCTAATTTCCTCTGGCAACAACGAAAAACACGCACCTGCACCTGCAGGATTTCTTTTCCTGGTGGTTCCAGCTTCTGTCACTGAGCTTCTTACTGGAGAGTTGATAGAAGAGCAGACACAGAGATTGACTCGAGCTCACACCTGCAACAACTTGTAGCTGCTGTCCTTGATCTTCTAAATCGGAGTATTGACGCTGTGAGCTCTGCTACGGACGAGCCAAGAGCTGGCCTCAAGTAGGTGTGGATCGGTCGAAAAGATGGCATGACCTTCTGGCAGTGGCATCATCGATCGACCATGGACAGAAACTGCAGCAGAGGCAGAGGAAAAGAGAGACCGGGCCGAACAATTGCCAAACCCGAAACATTAGAAGAATCGAGCCTGCGCATGCTGTCCTGTCCAAGTGTCTCATCACACGTGTTCTCGTTCCGGCCTGTCCACGTCATATTGTGTCTTTAATCGCCAGTAAGTACCTCGCGTGACCTGGACCTCTCCGCCAATCATCTTCGTCCACCGAGACACGGCAGTACCTTCCATGCATGACGTTCTCCCCACTGACTTGGATTGTGAACTGGATTAAAGAGTCTCAGACTCTTTGCTTATTCATCAAAGTAAGTTCATATTACAAGTTGCCATAGAAGTTTGCAGTTTTCGAAGGCCGAGAATATGCAGTTTGAGGTGAATCCTGCGCACTTTTTCAGGGTCTTAACTTTTTCTTCTCCTCGTAGTGTCAACTTATGGAACTTTTGATGTAGTACTCTGAAGTTAATGGAACTCTTTCGGAGGTGTTGTCAATAGACAATCTTCTCAGCCATTATTTTTACACATGTCAACTTTTACCCAAGTTCCTGTCACCTCATTCATAGACTCTTTCATCCAGCTTGCAATCAAAACGTTTGGCCTCTTGCATAAACAACCTAGTTCAAACGTAGCGAAGCCACACTTTATCTCCTGGTGGAAATATCATGTGGTTCACTTCAACCTCTGTTGCCATATAATACAATTGCTGATCACGCGACCGTAATGCATTTGTCACTTCTTGTCGTATTTAACTGAAGTTGGTTCAAAATTCCAACTCCTATGAAACATTTGTTCGCAATGAACACTTTAAGTGCATGTAAAGTACTTCGAATCTGCAGCTATCAACTTCTCCTAGTTCAGATGACGGAATATACACCTATTATCTTTACTTTCGCTGAGCTTTCTCTCGATTTTCAAGGGATTTTAATGAGAGAGAGAGAGAGAGAGAGTCTAAATATACTCTGTACATTACAATACATTGATAATTCTATAGCCAATCTAGTCATTCGGATGCCTGAACGAATTAGGCAACTGTCTGAAGTGTCCAATTTTGATCTTCGTATCATCAAGTGAAGGAGCCATAAACTATATACCTGTTCAGCTATCATATGTTTCTCAATGAGCTGTAATTAAAATGATCACAAGTTTCCTTTGAATAGAAATAGGAAATGTAAACAATGAGTGGACATATTATTGGAATCCAATGAGCGATAGAGGCTTGGTATGGAAGAGCTGGAGTACTATTGTAGAATTCCTCTATTCTATGACAATCTCAGTTATATTGTTTCAACTTAGAAACTGCTCATCATCATCATTCAAATCTTTAAAGTACCGAGTGAGACATACATATAAAGAATATCAATCACTGATTTCTACGTTTTTAAATCAACACTTGTAATATAAAGTGAAAAAATCCCTTTTTTGTTAGAAAAAGATCTGGATATCTTTAAAAATCATCATCATAAACATATCAGATTGATCTCAGATTTGAGACATTTTTTCTAGATCTAGATTTTTTGGTTATATGGTGAAAGTTTTCAAAAAAGTATGCCTTACATGAAAGACGTTTCTAGGATGGATTAGAGTTTTGAGAGGCAGAGGTTTGAGAAAGTGATTGTGGCTAAAACCCTCTTCAAAGATCAAGTTTTGCAGTGATGAAGAGCCGAATGCAATAAGTAGCTAAATGGCATTCCTTTTATTGAAGTTCAAACAAATTTTGATAAGCTGATTCAATAGCGTGGAAATGAGAAATAGATTTTCAGCTTCAAACTTGTGGGGAGTTTCAGTCATAATTAGTCATGTATTAGAAAACGGACAATCTATTTTAACCTCTCATATTTTTTTAACAACGTTATCATCAATTTAATTTTTGTTCATTTTTGTATCTTTGGTAATAACATGCAAGATGTCTTGTTGAGGATGTAAGTTATGTTCATCGGTACATGTAACGATTGTTAAAATGAATTTTTTTGTGAAATATTAGTATATATATAAGTTAATTTGATTGATTAAAATTGGAGAAAGCTAAATTTTAGTATATAATAAGACTGTAAATTATATCCCTTGGTTAAGTTTGAAATCACAATAATATGTTTTGTGAGAGATTTGCATGTGCGTGCGCATGCTTTTGTGTCAATATATGTGACAGCAAATTTATTTTGATAAATGATTGTTGCAATAAGAATATACATTAGCACTCAGATTTTTATTAAGATTGATAAGCAAATTAATATACATAGTTAGTAATTTGGAATTATTCTCAAGAATGGAATTTTCCTTAAATGAATAATGAGGTTAAGTTTTAAAAATAGCTATTGGAGAAATCAAAATGCTTTGAAGCGCAAAGTAGGAGTTGTTCGATTTGGTTTTTCCCTCTTTTGATGGATACAATTGCAATATCCTTGTTAACTTTTTGAATGAAAATGCTATGCAATTTAGGGGTAGAGTTGATATTAAACCTTATGACATATTACTTTATGAAGTTGAGGTTTTGAAACTGCAACTTTGATTCAAAGTAAACATTCCAAATAACTAGTTAAGAATATCAACATATCCCTCGATAAATCAAATGAAGAGTTAAATAGTTTCATGTAGTGGATTGAAAAGGCGAAAACGCACAATTCTCAAATATAGTAACAAGTATAATTTGAGCTTGAATTACGAACTTCTTTTCACGTTCAGCAATGATGCGATTATTTCCAAATTTTTAAGATGTTTATTCTTCTTTGTAACTGGTTTAAAATCAATTCATGTAACACATTTTATGTTTTTCGCATCAGTATCTTGACATCAAACACATGAACTAAAATGTAGTGTCACTATAATCATTATCTTCAAATCTTTTACCACATCAGAGTGAACTGAAATTTGAGACTTTTATTCCAAAGGAAAGCAACTTAAAATTTTATTCTTGTATGGAGAAAGTTTTCAAAAGATTATAGCTTGTACACAAATATTTCTGGGATGGCGTAGAGTATTGAGAGGCAGAGGTTGAGAAAATGATGGTGGCTGAAACCTACCTCTTTGCAGTGATGAAGAGCCTAATTTAATTAGTAGCGAAAATGGATTTCCTTTCATTGAAGTTCAAAAGAATAATGATAAGCTGATTAAATAGCAATTCAAAATTTAAGGACAACTTTTTTTTGTTTTCCCTTCCAAGTACATCTGAAAATTATTCACTCCAATAAAACGTGGAAAACTCTGCAAACTTTAGAGTAATATTCTTGATCTTACATACTACAGAGGTGTAGTTGAAAGTCCGCTTGATCCAAAGGACCACCTTTTAGGAGCACATAATATAAACCATAGGGCCAGCGACTGTCAAAGGTTATTTAAAACTGGCAGAATATTCGAGTTTGCCATAATTGAAAGACATTTCATAAATAGGCCAGGGATAAAAAAAGAGAACTTAAGTACAAGGCCAGGGATTTTAGAATAACTATAAAATCTAATGGATGATGATACTATTATGCCACTCAATAGAACATGGTTTGATCCATTTTCACATGAGAAAATGAACCCTCATTGCTCGTTGGACATATTCACACGAACCATCACTTTTGCTCATCAAGTACTAGCTCCTTCTCAAGTGTTAATCACAAGATGCAGAAGAGCAATGTCGCGAGTTTAGGAATTAATTAAGCCACTTTTACAGGGCTCTATATCTGGCTAAGCCCGGGGTTTGTGCGAAGGACTTCTTTGGTATAAGGAGAGTGCTCGGCGGCTGTTGCAAGAATCGATCAGAACATGCTCCAACTCTGTCATCTGATTCCTTAATGTTGTCACCAAATTTCAGGTGCCCTATGTACTTGTGCAATCAATGACCAATTTGTGAGCCTTGAATTTTATCTCAATAGTGCCCTCCAGCACGCCACAATACTTTGTCGTCGTGATATTTGAAAAATTGAAAAATTTCCGCAGACTCTTCCTTGCAGACTGTCGACATGTCGATGGCAATGTATAGGATGTTCTCACTAATTCGGCGGACGGTGTGCATTTAAGAGCAAGTCTGTTGCAGCAGCAATTACTCCTCGCCATCATCTCTGCTCCAGGATGGTGTCTGAAGAGTTCTTCTCTTGGGGACGCAATAAGCACTGACGAAAATGGAAGGAGATTGAGCCATACCTGCCACTGCCTTGGTTATCGTCTCAGCTGAAAATTTGTATAATTGCAGTTTGCCACTTGATCAAGCTTAATTCTGAGTTCTTTATGATGATCAATTTAGACAGACCCCACTCGCTGTCGGTTCAAATTTGCATCCCATTGATATATAACGTGGGTTAAGTCCACATGGAGTAACCTTTGTAGCACTCGTCTCCCTCTAAAACGATGATACAACTGCAATGTGGATTTGATAATCTACAATCTCAATCTGTATGGGAAAGCTTGGCAGCAATATAACTTTGAAATTGCTAACGAGGGCAGATTTCTGAATCTTAGAACGCCTGATCTTATATACTATGTAACATTGTTCTCACTACAGCACGGATTTGACAAATATTGATCCTCTGATCTCTGCTCTGCACAAATCTGAAGACTTTGAACTGCACTCATACCCTCTGAACTTCATGAATTAAGTATATGAACTACATCGTCTTTGAAGTCTCTAGACAAACGAGAGTGTTTATCTGACTCTAATCCTGATACCTTGAAGAGGATTGTTAGGTATACAAGAGTTTCTCCTTGGAGGCCGTTGGCCGTTTATTCTTACTTTCTGTGACATCAACGTACGTCCACAGAAAGCAAGAGCACAAGTTCATAACGCCAGTTACGCCACGGTTGTGGGGTGCAAAGCAATCAAAGACGGTGATGCTCTAACAGATTTTTTGCTCTAACAGAGATTATAATATAATATTGCGTTATCCCCTTTTCTATCCGTCACATAAAAATTTTAAACTCTTTTGTTTGATTTACCGAGGGATATGTTGATATTTTGGATGGAGTCATATTGAATTCTTATATCATGGAACCAAAAATTGCGACTTTTCTAGAGCTGAATAATGGTTGACGATTTAATTTGAAACAATGGATATGTTATCAACTTCAAAAAATGGATTACCATCTTCAACCATTGCCACCTTATCATGGCTGCACAGAATTAATTGTTAAAGGAACCATATTTCGGTACCTGATCTGTGCTGAAGGTCCGAGGAAACCTCCTTCTCATGGAAATTCCATTGCCACGTCAAAATGGTAAGTGGTAAAAGTTAAAAGACCAAGCCCGGGGGACCCAAAGGGTCAAAAGGCTGAGGGTTCAAACTGATTGCCCAAAAGCTTGCCTATGATTGTCCCTAATAACTTACCTCAGAGCTTCCCGCGTCTCCTCCTCCTCCCGTCTCTGCTGTCTTGTCCACCCCAGCCCTGCACTTCCTCTGGGACTTGGAATTATTGCACAACAAGGGTCGTCGGGGCTCGGAGCGTATACAAAGTATTGAACCCGATTGCGTGAGTGGAAAGGAGGCTGGGGTAGAAAAAAAATTTGAGTCTAATTCAGCCCAATATTTTACCACCTCAAGTTCTTTGCCTTCTTCATATAGATTTCAAACGTCTCCGGAGTCGTGCATCCAGCTCCTCCTGCCAACAACGGTGCTACATACTCTTGCTGTGTTATCCACCCCTGCCCTGCACTTCCTCTGGGACTTGGAATTATTGCACACCAAGGGTCGGGGGGGATTGGACCGGAGGTTTCAACCCATGGGTGAAAAGGAAGTCTGGGTAGAAAAAATATAGAGTCAAAGTCAGCCCCATATTTAACCACCTCATGTGTGTACTCATTATCCAACACGAAATATGCATCCCTGCCTCCTGTGGCATAGAAGTTGAAAACTTTGGGATATGGTAGATGCCATTGATCTATAAATCTCCTGATAGCAGCTTCATCCATTGCTTCGGCCACAGCTTCATCCATTGCTTCGTCCATTCTTTCGTCCCATTCCTCGTTCCATGGTCTCCTGATCAAAGCTCGATCATATACATTTCTAACTCTCCTGATCAAAGCTCCATCCATTCGCCGGACTATGGGACTCCGGAGGAAGTTGGCGACATCGCTCCTAAGTTCAAACTCCCCTTCCAGAGGAGACCAATTTCTGCCAAGAAGGCACACATGTCGTTCATACGCAGCCATTTGAAGGTGAATTCGCGGGGTCTCCTTGGATTCCTCTACCAGTGTGTTCCACGTTCCCTCTTCAAGATCAAATATCAAGAGATAACTATCCCATACGAACCAATACAGACAACCATTACATACTACACTTCTCTCACGAGTCCGCGTGTCTTTGATCCGTTCAGGGAACGGATGAATTCCCCACGACCATGTACCGGTCGTCGAGTCGTATATCAAAGTTCTGCGTCTATCTGTTGCGTCTTGAAGTGCTCCAAATTGAGGTCCTCCCAATCGAAGTCCTCCCAAAACCAGCTTGAAGTTTTTCGTATATTGGTCCACGACTAAACCCGCCACCTTATAATCCAGGATATAATATGTGGAGAAGATAGTGTCAACTGTATATTTTCCATCGATTTCAAGAGGTACGTCCAAAAGCAGGATTTCGTCCAGAACTGGGTTGTACATGACAAATGTATTATCAAGTCGGTCACCAAAACACAGTAGGCCTCCATCAGTAGCGACCAGCTCATTGTCTCCAAATGTCAACTTACTTGTGATCCATCGATCTCTATAGCAGAAGTGTGCCGTATTTTCACCATGAGTTGTTTCATGGAACACAATAACAGAATTTTTCCATATTCTGTTCCGTAACTCAGGACCATCTATGACTTCCTTCCATTTCTTACGAACTAAACGACATTCCAGAAGAGTGGAAATTGGGAGATCATGATCTCTGAGAATCTTGATCAGGAAATCGATAGGTAGACTTTCCCATGCATCTTCAGGTTGGTGCTGGTCTCTTTCGGGCTCCATCTTAACGAACGAGCTTTTAAAGGATCATACATAAGAGTTCATCTCTGAATCTGCTATCTGCAACATCTCAGAAGGAGACAGTACTCAGTGATGTGAACTGTGAGTTAGCGTAGACAAAAGTTCTAGCGCCGATTGAAGCAGAGCGGCACAAATGAAAACAATTGTGTATTGCAATATCTGCATATATACGTGTGAAGCAGCTGTCAAACTTGAGAACGCTGGCTGCAGAAGTGTGATAACACTGACGAAACAGTGCATTATCAGATAAACTACAGAGAACGGGAAAGAAGTTCCTGTCACTGACGTTCCGAATTATGTAGTCATCGACCGAAACACCGACTCGCATCGGTTGACAGTTACTTATGCACCGGTAAATTCAGCATTGGCCGTCTCAGTCAGGTCTTATTTCCTCGCACATTTTTACAAAAGCATCATCCAATCTATTTTCCTCTGGCAACTCGAAAAACGCGCACCTGCAGGATTTCTTTTTCTGGTAGTTCCAGCTTTTGTCACTGAGCTTCTAACTGGCGAATTGAAAGAAGAGCAGACACAGAGATTTACTCGAGCTCACACCTTTAACAATTTGTAGCTGCTGTCCTTGATCTTCTAGATTGGAGTATTGACGCTCTGAGCTGACGAGCCAAGAGCTGGCCTCAAGTAGGTGTGGATTGCTCGAAAAGATGGCATGACGTTCCGGCAGCGGAATCATCGATCGACCATGGACAGGAACTGCAGCAGAGGCAGAGAAGAAGAGACGGGGCCGAACGATGGCCAAACCCGAAACAGGAGAAGAATCGAGCCTGCGCATTAGGGTTGGAGGCACAACCTGAAAGGCATGCCTTCGGGCATGCCTTTCAGGGCGACTCGCTTAGTTGCACAAACTTATACAAACTGCCGAACTGCCATGTGTCAAGGATCTCAGTTTCTTTCTACTCTTTCTTTCTTGATTCATACTCCATTCGGGCAGCCCGAGTCAGCCGGATTTTATCTCAGTTTTGGGTACTTGAGGGTCGGCGAACTCGACTTTCCGACAAACATGTAGAGGCATGTAAAGGCCGTCACTGTAAAGGCCGCTGTTTTAGTTAAACTAAACCGCAGGAGTGATAGCTTAGTTGGAATCCCTAATCAATTCAAACTGTAATATTTTCTAATTCAAACAATGATAACATATTGTGGCGACAAAATTTTAGACGGGAAAGTTTAGGGTTTTTGAAAATAGGATCACATCGATATCCTCTAGCTCGGCGATGTTTTGACGTCGCTTTCGGGTGCCAGTGTCAGTGCTGTGAGGAGCTCGTGCCAGAGCTCGTGCTTGTACTTTTCTTGTCATTTCAAGTGTTTTTTGCAGGAGTGATAGCATGGAGTCAGGATGGATTGTGCAGGATCCATCGTGGGATGGCCCTTTCAATTCATTAATCTTGAATTGGTCGAATGAGTATAAGTTTGTGCAGCTAAACCCGTCCGATCTAGCATTGAGTGCAACAAGGAGGGCATATCAATCATTGATGGGCGGAAGGGACGAGGATGTAGGTTACGTGGAATGCTGCTTGGGGTCTATATTTGAGCTTGGGAAGGTTTCAGAAACTCTTTCACCATGTTGTTTGGTTCTTGAAAGAAATAGGACAAGGGCGTTGGTGTGCAGAAAAAACCGCTCCTTACTTTTCTTGCGGTTGTTGCTTATTGTAGGCGAGCCAAAAGTGACGATTTCACCTGCGTTTTTGATGTGCTACGCCTACGATAAGCTGTCGATGGGAGTAGCTTAGTAGGTATAGCGTATTCACATTGAAGATTTACATCATGACTGACAGCAATGTCTAATTAGACATCGTCATCATGTAAGAGAAAATATAAAAGTCATGATGTATTGTCTGGAAGTTATTCGATTTCCTGCACGGGCTACACGCGATTGCTCCCTGGCATTGTGATTTCATCGAGCATAGGCTCCACTTTGAATGTTGCCTGCAAGTTCCAGCGTCGGAAATTCCCTGTGGACTGCTTGCTGGCGCCGTGGTTCCCTCCGGACCAGCCCATGCGCTTTGCCAACGCGCACAGGCTCTTCTGAGTAGCGAACATATTGAGGCTTATACGAGAGAATCGGAGCTCCGTCGAGGATGTGATGAAGAGTGTCTGCTTCGAGTCTGACGCTCGGGAACGAGATACTATCCTTTATCATATGCTGCAGCAGCATCTACAACCGCAACAACTGCATTACATGCAGATGCTCCAGTAGCAGATGTCTTCTCTAGAGTGTTATGTTAGAGTATTTTGTTAATTTCAACGCCGGTGGTGGAGGCTTTAATCCGGTGCAAGCAACGGACGCGTCGACCTCTCATCCACTTATGCACCTCACAGATAGAAGTGCAGAAGTTACTCTTCATCGGGCCTCTTCTTTGTACACTAGAACAGCAACGAGAGACTTTCTCTTTCTCACACACAACTCTTAACTCTCGCTATTATTGACTTTTGTTGTAATTGCAGATAATACAGAATCTGCAGCTTTACATCATTAATTTTTTCTTTTTTTCTGTTTCTTTTCTCCACAGCTATAAATCTATCCAGACGCACATGCAATGTCTTACCATGATTTTATATTTTATGACAAACTAATAAAAAATGTGGCTGATTCGCCTGACACAAGGTGTTCTATATTACCGTGAGTATCAAGGCCTCGTTTCTTGTTGTCGCCTTGTGTTTGTGTGTACGATTGCAAATTCCTGGGCTGTGAGATCTAAATTTCGAAGACTTCAGCTCAGTTGTGTAGGAGTTATATCCGAGTTACATATGCAGATATGCATGGCTTATACTACTCTAGAAAAGTATGGGTGCCTCATTAAGAAGGGACAAGACTCAGCTGGCTTGGTTTGCATCCTCTAGTGCGCTAACTCTTCCTGATCTATATTCTATCTCCGCTAAAACAACGAGTCTATAGACAGTAGTGTGGTGTTTGAGCTACACATTTTGACGTGTACGGGAAGGGTAAGAAGGTGTCAAGAATGAGGTCAGCGTCTTCAGGGGTATCTCCAATCCAGTGTACTCATAAAAATTTCGAGACATTTTGTTCAGCTCACTGTCACATTTAGTATTGGAAGCCCCAGTCACATCACGCTGTCTGTGTCCTTGAGGCGAAGCGCATGTGTCAAAAAAGAGAAAATGACGAGAAGAACTCAAGGGAACAGACACAAGAGAAGTCGGTAATTATCTAGACAACACATTTTTCCTAAGCAGTTGCAAGCGAGTAGTCTCATATCTGCCTGTGCATCATACCCAAGTTCTTGACTAAAAGTTCTTGCCTAGCAATTCAAAGGTGTCACTAGTGAACCCTTGCACATGGAACTAAACTCTGAAGAAAGTGAAAATAACACTTTGCCGTAGGCACAAAATTCGACATCTTCCTGACATGCATTACTTGAGACCTCTTGCATCTACAAGACATGTTTTACATCTAGTTGTAGATTCTATGCAGATGGAACTTAACTCTGAACACAGGATTCTAAAAAGACATATATTACTCGAAAAAGGGTTGCATCTCTCATCTTTCTAATCTGAAAATTTTTCCTCAAGTTTCCTTTACTTTAATATCATACGAAGTCTAAGAAACCGCTGGCGAGACAAACCTGTCACTGCAAAGATTCATTTTTTCCAAAAGTGAGCTTGTAAGGCTCTCTAACTGATGACAGCAAATCACCTCGAGATGTGTATGTGGATGAATTCACCTTGTTATTATCTTGACGCTTACATCCAGCCAATTAATTTTTTCTGGAAGTTAAGCACAAACAGTTCCCATAATCTCCACATTGAACCTTTAAACACTGCTCTAGCAATAGGAAACTGCAGAAATGAGCATAATTTTGAAGGAAATTAGAATGAGAGCAGAATCTTATTTAGTTATATTTTCTTCCCAATTGTCGGTTTTCTAAAAGGGTTTTGGAAAGTGTGGAGGTTTAACTCCTCCTCAAATTCTCATGCGCGCTACAAAAGCACTGTTTGAAAATCATCAAAGCTTAGACTATGTGCAAGGGATCCCTATTAGAGATCATTATATCACATCTGCTGATGTGTATAATATCAAATTGGAACTGGACAAAGAAATTTGGAGAAGTCATGCTAATGATAGAATTAGCACAGAATTATGAATGAAAGCGATTTCATCTCAAGTTGTTTTATATCAGGTACCAAAAAGTGATCCATTTAAACCATTGAGGCTTGCTGTTACAAGACCCTTGCTTCTAGATTGGTTGCTAAAACATGGAAATGGAGATTGTGTTGCTATAGATGGAAAGCATGGCACGCAGAAGTATAAGGTAATATTCTACTTGTACATTTTGATGTTTTTATCATCAGGCTTTCATTATTATATATATTCTACCTTACAATTTGCAATATTTGCAAGATACTTTAAAAAAAGACGGTTTGGAGCTTTAACCAGTCTTGTAAGACATTATTGAACTTCTCAATGTGTGATGTATATGTTGTTTTATATACCTTGATCATGTCTAGCTTATCAAGACATAAAAATAGCGAATCATTCATTTGTATCAGGTTTAGCTTAGTATCAGTGAAGATGAATACTTTGTAGACGACTGCTTGCAGCAGACTGATACGTTTATTTCATTTTTTGCAATCCAGTATCCTCTGTACAGCCTGATGGTGTTTGACAAATATGAACATGGACATCCTACTGTTTTTAGATTCCTCGAAAGAGAAGAAACATAAGATCTGGTGGAATTATTATCTGCAGTGAAGAAGATGACCCAACATTATATCCCTGGATGGATGCCCTTGTGCTTCATGACAGATTGTGCTCACAATGAGAGACTTGCCCTAGACATTGTTTTTCCACATATCCCTGTATTTCTTTGCATATATCATGCTCGAAAAGCATGGACAAAGAAATTGATCGAGGTTGTGAGTGGTCATGAAAAGAGAGCTATTATGAATGCTGCTTTAGAATACCTGTGCTTTGGAAGCATATTGACTGCTGATGGAGAAGAATTTGATGTGGAAAGATCTGCTGCAATGAAGCTTCTGTTATTTTACAAAAAATTTCAGCTCTCTGAGCCAGAATTTGTGAAGTACTTCCAAACAGAATAGGAACCTTGTATGGGTAAGTGTAAGTTTGTAACATGTGCATTATATATGAAGTTATTACATTTTGGAAGTCATGTTTTGCTTAATGGTCTTCCACAAGTACATCTAACTTACTGTTTTGGAATTCAGGTCAGTGGAATATAGGCGATGCAGTCACATTTCCTCGTGGTGAATGAACAACCTTAGCAAACGATGATTGATATTAGCAGAAAAAAGTTGTCTTGAGCAGGATCTCAATTCTGCACTTATCATCATCATCATCATAATGAAGATGAGTACAATTGCTTCGTTGAACGAGCTCCCTGAAGAGATGAGGATAAACACAGCTAATTCATTACTGTATAGCGTATGCAAACTTTGATTATAAGCAACACAGTGAAGGCTGTCATAATCTGCTGTTGATATTATTTTGCAATGAGATAACAAGAACTTGTGTTTGTCACGACACAAAAACTGATTCTTGTTGTCAAGTAGACAAACAACTGGTTCTAGTCTATCTCACATCGTGACCTCGACTTGTAACGACACAATTGAAAACCCCATAAGCTACCCTTGACCTTAGAATCTACTTTGTATGTGGCACAAGACCTTCCCAAAGCTAGTACTTGTTCAAAATTTTATTAACACTTTAACATACAATTAGCATGTACTCAAGTGATGGTACAATATGTAATAAATATATATAAATCATTTATTACAATTTGGATCAAACTGAGCTATTGCGCGAAGAGCGATAATTACACATGGATGCTGGAGAAATTCATACTTTGATTAAGCTGTTGGGAATCAATTTCAAGGTGGCCGACACAGTTTCAAGCATCGGTTGAACAGGTCTGCTGTGAGGAACTATGGTCGTCTTTATGACGTCGACCAGGTTGTGAGAATAGGGATTCCCTCATAGTTGAGTGCGGATGGATGCCCAGATGTTCTTATAATCCATCGCTAGATCGGTCCGCCGGAAAGTGGAGCGATCTACTTCAGTCACTTTGATGTTCCACAGGAGAACTGAGTGCCAACCAGGAAGCTGCCCGGTTAGCTTGCCCGCAAATTCTTCCATCTTTGGTCCAAAAGAGGAGAGTCGCAGCGAAAAGAAGAACTTCCGTCACGGGTCACTGCAGGATGACACCTGCTTGGGTCTATGAAGGCCCTATATAGGGGCTATGTATAAGTTTGTGCAGCTAAACCCGTCCCTTTCAGGGTAGGGGTCATGCATTTGTATACGGGACATGCCTGTATACATACTTATATGTATATATTCTAGAGTTATAGATGGTGGAATAAATGGTGAAGAAATAAAATTGGTTCGATTGCCCCCATTTGGGTTAGAATGTTTTGGGGTCTTACAATGTCTTTGGCAAGGTTTCATAACCAAATTCTGGATTAATAGAAAAAATTAATAGAAAAAAGTTGTCTGAAATCTTCTTCTACAACAATGACAGATTTTTGAACGCGAATTTTATTCTTGAGTTCACAATGACATGAATTATTACACTTGAGTTTAATTATGATTCTTTTCTTAGAGTTGGGTAATGTGGTTTTGAGGGTTTAGTCCAGCATAAGCTTCATAAGTCTTTGGAAATTTTAGAAAACTTGTGAGTGCAATTACGAGATGTTAAGAAGTTGGTGGGTCGATATCCGGTGCTTTTAATGGAGTATGACTCGAAGAAGTTGGATCAGATTGTTAATTGCCATTCGCAATTAGTCATACGTAAAGAGCACATTGGTATCGTGCTGATTAAAAGACCATTACTGTTGGACAACGATGTGGAGAAACATCTGTTGCCTGTAAGCCATTAACTCAAAATCCTGAATGCAAGTACAGATGACATTGACAAGATTATCATGTTGTTTCCTAAGTTGTTTACCTAGAATGTTGATCAGGCGAGTGAGTGCTTGTCAGATGTATATGACTTCTTTGTTTTTAACTAAATTCTTCTATGTGCATTCCTTATTTGTGTACAAGATCCATCTATCTTTTCGAGTACTTGTCTGTATAGCAAGTATCTAGGTCCACGTTTGTTCAAAAAATTGTAGGAGTAACACCATGTGGTGGAAGTTATGGCAAGTTAGTAGGATGTGTTCTCATCTTTCAATGTCTTTTCACATCGTAGTTATATTTAAAGCTTTTTAGGAATTTGCAACTGGTTAGGCCTTATGATAGGAATATCACTTTTAAAACTGAATACATTATTTAGAATAAGTTGATAATATTGTGTTCCTTGCAGACTTGGCCAAAAAACAAACTAATCAAGTCAATCGGGAAAATAACTTGAATATTCTTTGTCTCGTAAGTATCTTAGACATGATGTATTGACTAGTCTTCATTCAACTTGTTGTCGCTAGTGGCATGAAATCACGAAAAATTAATATTACTTTATTCAACAATTGAAATGTGGATATATTGATGAATTTGTATCTTAACTCAACCTTGATGTTTCTCGCGGGAAGGTTCTCAAAGCTGAAACTGGCGCTGGGATAGGAAGTGCATCCATGCATCTGCCAGGTCCAAGGGACGCTAATTTATTCAACCCTTCATATTCGAAGATCCAAAATGCTTAAAACAGGTAACATTCGTTGTGAAATACCCATGTTTGCTACGATCAAATATCAGATTTGAGTACAACTTTGGTAGGATATACTAAGTAGATTCTACATTCTTAATATTATAATTGTAATATGCTTATTCTTAATATTATAATAGATGCAATTATAACTTGTCTATAATTCTATAAAGTTTTAGTTTCCACCATATTACTTTAATTGAAGTATCTCTGAATTACACTAAGTATCTTTCAAGTAAAATTCTCTCATGGCACCATTCCAAGAGTATAAGTAATTGGAGTATATTGTATATGAAAAGTTTTTATTTTGTCAAAAATAATTTAAAAATATGAATGAAGTTCATGGACATAATAAAGAGATTTTCGTTATAGATGATTGTCAACTGAATTTTAATATGTTAATAATTTTACATATTATTATTTTTAAAAAACGTTTTATGACTCTTTTTTTACTCGATGTATAAAGAAATATTTCAAAAAAATAAAATAAAATATTTAAAGATATTTCTTTATCATATTTCATAAATTAATTATTATTTATATATCTATGTTATTTTCTTTCTATTATAATATTTTGGGTTTTTTTTTATGATCATATAATTAAATATCTCTCAATAATATATTTATTTTATTTTCATATATATCTTAGCATAATTGATTATGTAGATTCTGTCTAAAGTTCACTTAACACGCTGGAATCGTACCAGCTTTACTTTTTCTTTCTGCACCGTCTTCAACTGCTCTGCTCGCCACAAACGCGACGTAATTGGCATTGTAAAGTTGTGATCAAAGTCCGTGCTTTTTTAGACTTCCGTTCATTTCACGTTCAGGATGAATAAACGGAGTCCGAGGAGAAGCTCTCTGATAGCTAACAATCGTCTTCAGAGTTTCACGATCACCGAAAGATAAACCCTCTCTTTTGTCTTGAAACTTTGAAGACGATGTAGTTCAGATATTATTTCGTGGAGGTCAAGGGTACTTGTGGAGAGTAGAGATCAGAGGATCAATTTTTGTCAGAATCCGTGCTGTAGTGAGAACAATGTTACGTAGTATAAAAGATCAAGCGTTGTTAGATTCAGAAATCTGCTCTTGTTAGCAATTTCGAAGTTATATTGCTGCCAAGCTTGCCAATACAGATTGAGTTTGTAGATTATCAAATCCACATTGCGGTTGTATCATCGTGTTCGAGGGAGACGAGTGTTACAAAGGTTACTCCATGTCGACTCAATCCAAGTCATATATCAATGGGATACAAATTTGAAATGAGAGCGAGTGGGGTCTGTCTAAATTGATCATCGTAACGAACTCAGAATAAAGCTTGACCAAGCTTTACAAATTTTCAGCTGAGACGATAACCAAGGCAGTGGCAGGTATGGCTCAATCTCCTTCCATTTTCGTCAGTGCTGATTGCGTCCCCCAGAGAAGAACTCTTTGGGCACCATCCTGCAGCACAGATGATGGGGAGGAGTGATTGAATTACATGCACACCGTCCGTTGAATTATTGGGAGCATCCTATACATTGCCATCGACATGTCGACAGTCTGCTGGGAAGAGTCTGCCTCTGCCAATTTTTCAAATATGACAGCGACATAGTATTGTGGCGTCCTGGAGGGCACTATTGAAATAAAACTCAAGGCTCACAAATTGGTGATTGATTGCAAAAGTACATGGGGCACCTGAAATTTGCTGACAACATTAAGGAATCAGATGACAGAGTTAGAGCATGTTCTGATCGATTCTTGCGACAGCCCCCGAGCACTCTCCTTATGCCAAAGAAGTCCTTCGCACAAACCCCGGGCTTAGCCAGATATAAAGCCCTGCAAAAGTGGCTTAATTAATTCCTGAACTCGCGACAGTGTTCTTCTGCATCTTATGATAACACTTGAGAAGGAGCCAGTAGGTTTGCAAAACTGATGGTTCGTGTGAATATGTCCAAACGAGCAATGAGGATTCATTTTCTCATGTGAAAATGGATCAAACCATGTTCTATTGAGTGGCATATTAGTGTCATCATCCATTAGATCCCATGAGAAGCTTAACATCTCAATGAGCTCAATCTGAATCATTTGAGTTCAATTGAAATTGAATATAATTGAAACTGATAGAATTGTCTATTCTAGTAAAACAGTTGCTTTATTAATGTAATCTCTGCGAGTAGAATGTAGGGACGCTATAGCCTGAAATTTGATGATCACTGGTACCCCAAGGGAGATAAAGAAACCTAGTTATCAAGAACTTATCGAACAATGTTATCGTTCATCTCAACGAATATGACAACGACTTGGTGCCTTTTGATCAGCAACTGTCGAGAATTGTCGAGGTTGCTGTTCCCAATTTTTCAGATCAGAAAAAAACATGCATTTGGACGGAAAGTCAGAAGACAATACTGAATGGGTTGAAACTTTCCGTTTTCAGTTTATAAAGAAATCCAAGATTCACTGTAAATGATATTGATCGTTTTGTCAATTTAGCCTACAGTGCACTGGATTGTGTAATCACGTTAAAAACAATCTAGATATATCTTTACCTTGAAACGTTAGATAGAGAATTAATCGTAAGGTTATTTGCCAAGAAAAGGACAATTTTCCGCCTATCGGAAGAGTGATTTGAATCCACGGATTTACCCTATTATCATCCCTGCACAGAATTTAGTGTTAGAAATTCGAACGGGTCTTCTAACTTAGAAGACCCGTTTTTCCTTAAGCGGATCTGTGCTGAAGGTCCGAAGAAACCTCCTTCTCATAGAAATTCCATTGCCACGTCATCAGATTGCCGTAGAGCTTGCCTAACAGCGTCTCTAAGGGCTTGGCTAAGAGCTTCCCGCGTCTCCTCCTCCTCCCATCTCTGCTGCCGTGCTACATACTCTTGCTGTGTTATCCACCCCTGCCCTGCACTTCCTCTGGGACGTAGAATTATTGCACACCAAGGGTCGTCGAGGCTCGAAGCGTATACAAGATATTGAACCCGATTGCGTGAGTAAAAAGGAGGCTGGGGTAGAAAAAAGATCGAGTCTAATTCAGCCCAATATTTCACCACCTTAAGTTCTATGCCTCCTTCATCGAACACGAAAAATGCATCCCTGCGTCCTGTGGCATAGAAGTTGAACACTGCGGGATAATCTAGAACCCATTGATTTATAAACCTCCTGATAACAGCTTCATCCATTGCTTTGTCCATGTTCCATGGAAATCTCTGTCTCCTGATCAAAGCTCGATCATATAGATTCCTAACTCTCTTGATCAAAGCACCATCCGTTCTCTGGACCATGGGATTCCGGACGAAGTTGGCGACATCGCTCCTACGTTTGAAACTCCCCTTCCAGAGGAGACCAATTACTGGGAAGTAGGCACACATGTTGTTCATACGCAGCAATTTGAAGGTCAAGTGGCGTGGCCTCCAGGGATTCCTCAACCAAGGCGTTCCACGTTCCCTCTTCCAGATCAAATATAAAGAGAACCTTCATCCTGCGCCAATAGCGATCCCATATTAGCCAATAAAGACATCTATTACATACTACACTTCTCCTACAATCCCACACTGCTTTCAAACATTCAGGAAACGGATGAATTCCACACGTCCATGTACCGGTCGTCGAGTCGTAAATCAGAGTTCTACGTCTTTCTGTTCCGACTTGAACTCCTCCCAAAACCAGCTTGAAGTTTTTCGTATATTGGTCCACGACTAAACCCACCACCTTAAACTTCAGCTTACCATCAATGACTGTATGTTCTTCATTGATTTGAAGAGGTACGTCTAAAAACAGAATTTTGTCCTGAACTGGGTTATACATGACATATGCTCTTGAGAGTCGTTCACCGAAACACAGTCTCCATCAGCAGCGACCAGCTCCTTTGGCACAAGGAGGTGTGGAAGATTCCTTGTGATCCATCGATCTCTACAGCAGAAGTGGGCCTTATTTTCACGATGTTGATTAAACACAATAACAGAATGATTCCAGATTTTGTTCCAAAACTCGGACCATCTTTGATTTCCTTCAATTTTTTACAAACTGAACGACATTCCAGAAGAGTGGAAATTGGCAGATCATGATCTCTGAGAGTATTGATCAGTAAATCGATAGGTAGACTTTCCCACGCATCTTGATCTTCTTTCGGGTTCCATATTAACGAATGAAGTTTTAAACGATCATACATCTGAGTTCATCTCTGCATCTTCAATCTGCAACTTCTCAGAAGTAACAGTACCCAGTCAAGTCAATTGTGAGTTAGCGTGGAGAAAAATTCTAACGCGGATTGAAACAGATCGGCACATTTGAAAACAATTGTGTGTTGCAATATCTGCATGTATACGTGTGAAGCAGCTGTCAAACTTGAAATCGCTGGCTGTAGAAGTGTGGAGAAGAGAAGTGTGATAACACTGACGAAGCAGTTGAATGTCAGGTAAGGGACAGAGATCGGGAGAGAAGTTCCCGTCACTGAAGTTCCGAACTATGAAGTCATCGACCGAAACACCGACTAGTATTGATTGACAATTACTTCTGCATGGGTAATATCAGCAAGTCATTGTGGATAAGGTGTTCGTTTAACCGTGAATTTCACAGTTTGAAGTATAAACATACTGTTTACAACTTCAAAAACATTTTCTCAACGGAGTACTCCGTTGCGGTATCTTTCGATTTTTATTGATAGTCTGAAATTAGTCCCGACCATGTTTGATTTCCTTCCATTTCTTACAAACTGATTGACATTCTACTAGAGTGAAATTGGGAAGATATTGATCTCTGAGAACCTTAGTCAGTAATTTCAGTAGGTAATGTGTCCCATAGATCTTGAGGTCGATCCTCTTTTGTTTGGAGAGCCATTACAAAAAACGAGCTTTAAAGGATGACATATAAGAAGGTCATCTCTGAATCGAATCTGTAACATCTCAGAAGGAAACAGTAATCAGTCAATTGCAATTGAATCTCGGCCAAATTATCATGCTGGTTGACACAGAGAGGCTCAGATGAGAAGGATTGTATGATCCAATAATGTCATGTGTGCAATGTGTGTAGTAGAAAAGAGTGGTAACTCTTACGAACAGTCGATGGTCAGACTACGGGAGAGAAGTTCCTGTTATGTTCGGAGATCTCATGTCCTGGACCGAAACGCGGACTACTGTAGTTAGGCGTGACTGTGAGTGAGGTACGCATCGGTCATCTCAGCATTTCATTTTGAAATCGGTGTACGTTCAACTACCATTTTCAGAATTTGAAGTAGAAACATACTCGATTCGAGCGTCAAAGACGAATTCTCATATTTTTTTCAAAAGATTACACTGATGAATTATCTTCTTATTTTCAATTATAATTTTAATGGAAATTTGAATGAAATAAAAGCTCACTTTTATATAAAATGGTAGAAATTGTCCATTTTTAGAGCAGATTCATTCTAACTTGAACAAATGATTAGTTACTCTCTTGATTCCAGTTAGTCATAAATATAGTCTAACTAATGTTCGTAGGAAAACTAGAGAGCGCTAGAGTAAGGAAGGTAATCAACGAGCTACCTTAAGAACCTTGTTGAGATACTTGTAGAAAAACCCTCAGAGTTAGTAAATTCACGATATCTCAAAATATTGCTCTGAACATAAAGTATATGAAGCTATGACAGTTCTTATGGCGGTTCTAGTCTAATATGTATGAGTAAGTCATAATCTCTGACAAAGTTTATCTGATGAGGCAAATCCCATGAGAAACTTAACATCTGAATGAGATCAATCCGAATTTGAAATTGAATATCATAAAAACTTAAATATAATTATATTCTACTAAAACAGTTGCTATATTAATGTAGTCTCTGCGAGTAGAATGTAGGGACGTTATAGCCTTAAATTTGATGATCACTGGTACCCCAAGGATGATAAAAATAACCTAGCTATCGAGAACTTATCAGACAAAGATATTGTTCATCTCAAGGACTTTGACAAATCTTTCAGATCTTCGAAGGCAAAGTGATTTATTGTTCAAAAACAAAGATGAGAATTTGAAGATTCATGTGGAAATGTCTCTAATATCATATGTTTACACTACCAGTTGAATGTGAATTACAGATCATATTTTTTGATCCTCTCTCCGAATTCAAAGCTTATTTACACTCAAAATGTACACAATGTCAGTTTGCTCATGATTATATCACACTGAAAGGATATTCGACTCTACTCAAATTCTCTGCTTAATACAACTTATACTTATTTAGAGTATTTACTTTAAATCAAAGTTGCAATTTCAAAACCTCAACTTTATATTGTAATCTTTCATAAGGTTTAATATCAAATCTACCCCTAATTTTCATAGCAATTTCATTCAAAAAGTTCACAAGGATATTGCAACTGTAGCCATAATATCTGAATCCACTGTTTTACCATCTTCAACCATTGCCACCTTATAATGGCTGCACAGAATTAATTGTTAAAGGAACCATATTTCATAAGCTGATCTGTGCTGTAGGACCGAGGAAACCTCCTTCTCAAGGAAATTCCATTGCCACGTCAAACTGATTGCCCAAAAGCTTGCCTATGATCGTCCTTAATAACTTACTCAAGAGCTTCCCGCGTCTCCTCCTGCCGATGTCTCTCCTGCTGTCTTATCCATCCCTGCCCTGCACATCATCTGGGACTTGGAATTATTGCACACCAAGGATCGTCGGCGATCGGAGCGGATATAACGTATTGAACCCTATTGCGTGAGTGAAAAGGAGGATGGGGTAGAAAAATATCCAGTCAAAGTCAGCTCAATATTTAACCACATCAAGTTCTATGCCTTCATCATCGAACACGAAATATGCATCCCTGCCTCCTGTGGCATAGAAGTTGAAAACTGTGGGATAATCTAGAACCAATTGATCTACAAATCTCCTGATAACAGCTTCATCCATTGTTTCGTCCATGTTCCATATTGCTTTGTCCATGTTCCATGGAAATCTCCGTCTCCTGATCAAAGCACGTTCATATAGATTTGTAACTCTCCTGATCAAAGCTCCATCCATTCTCTGGACCATGGGATTCCGGAGGAAGTTGGCGACATCGCTCCTACGTTCAAACTCCCCTTCCAGAGTAGAACAATTACTAGCAAGTAGGCACACATGTCGTTCATACGCAGCCACTTGAAGGTCAATTGTCGTGGCCTCCATGGATTCCTCTACCGAGGCGTTCCACGTTCCCACTTCCAGATCAAATATCAAGAGAGCCTTCATATTACGCCTATAATAGGCATCCCACACGAGCCAATACAGACATCTTTTACATACTACACTTTTCTTACAGTTTCACACGTCTTTCATCCATTCCGGAAACGGATGAATTCCCCAAGACCATGTACCGGTCGTCGAGTCGTAAATCAAAGTTCTGAGTCTATCAATTGCGACTAGAACTCCTCCCAAAACCAGCTTGAAGTTTTTTTTGTAGACTGCTCGACGACTAAACCCACCACCTTACACTTCAGCATACCATCAATGACTGTATCATCAGCATACCATCAGCTTGGGCGCGAACGCGCATCCATCACGCTTGAACCGGAGCATGGGCGCGGACGCGCAGTAAACATGTTTAGAACACAATATATATTCCACACAATAGCAGAATTTTTCCATATTTTGTCCTGTAACTCAGAACCATCTATGACTTTCTTCCATTTCTTACAAACTGAACGACATTCCAGAAGAGTGGAATTTCGCAGATCATAATCTCTGAGAATCTTGATCAGGAAATCGATAGGTAGACTTTCCCATCCATCTTCAGGTTGATGCTGATCTCTTTCGGGTTCCATCTTAACGAACGAACTTGTAAAATATCATACATATGAGTTCATCTCTGAATCTGCAATCTGAAACATATCGGAAGGAAGCAGTTTTCAGTCAATTGTGAGTTAAAGTCAACAAGAATTCTCACACGGATTGAAATAGAGCGGCACAAATGGAAACAATTGTGTATTGCAGATTGTGAATTGACAGTTACTTATGCATTGGTAATATCAGCATTGGCTGTCTCAGTCAGGTCTTATTTCCTCGCACATTTTTACAAAAGCATCGTCCAATCTATTGTCCTCTGGCAGCTCGTAAAACGCTCACCTGCAGGATTTCTTTTTCTGGTAGTTCCAGCTTCTGTCACTGAGCTTCTTACTGGCGAAATGAAAGAAGAACAGACACAGAGATTAACTCGAGCTCACACCATTAACAATTTGTAGCTGCTGTCCTTGATCTTCTAGATCGGAGTATTGACGCTCTGAGCTCTGCTACGGACGAGCCAAGAGCTGGCCTCAAGTAGGTGTGGATCGCTCGAAAAGATGGCATGACCTTCCAGCAGCGGCATCATCGATCGACCATGGACAGGAACTGCAAACAGAGGCAGAGAAAAAGAGACCGGGACGAACAATTGCCAAACCCGGAAGTGCAGCAGAGGCAGAGAAAAAGAGACCGGGCGGAACAATTGCCAGACCCGAAACAGGAGAAGAATCGAGCCTGCGCACTAGGGTTGGAGCACAACCTGAAAGGCATGCCCCTGGGCGAGGGTTAGGGGATATGCATTTGTATTTTGTATATGGGGCATGCCCATATGTATATACGTGTAAATCATAAATGTAACTGTAAAATAGTTATATCGAATATATTTATATACATGTAATATATAAATATATTACATGTACAGTTATAGATAGTGGAATAAATGAAAAAATAAAACTGTTTAAATTTGATCGAGGTTGGATTGATTCCATCCCGTTGACAATGGCTTACAATGATTGAGGGGTTTATAACGTTTTTGACAAATTTTCATAACAAAATCCATGGAAAAAAGTTGTGTGAAATCTTGTTTTAGAATAATAACAGATATGTGGAAGCAAATTTCATTCTAGAATTTTATCTAGAAATTTTATTCTATTTTATTCACCCTGAAATTAGTTCTTCCAAGACAATACACTTGCTTTAAGTAAGATTCTTTTTCTTCGAGGTAGGTAATGTGGTTGTAAGGGTGTGGTCCAAACTGAATTCATAAGTCTAGAAAGTTTGGAAAACTTATGAGTGCAATTACGTGATGTCAAGAAATTGGTGGTTTGATATCATGTGCTTTTAACGGAGGATACCCCAAGTGAGTCCACTTGTCAATTACCTTAAGGAATAAGGCGTACATAAAGATCACATTGGTACTGTGCTGATTAGAAGACCATTACTGCTGGACAGCAACGTGGAGAAACTCTGTTGCCTATACGGAATTATCTCAAAAGCCTTAACGCAAGTCCAGATGACTTTGACAACATTCTCATGTCGTTTCCTCAATTGTTCTTCTATGATGTTGACCAGGCAAGTGAGTGCACATCAGATGTACATGGTTTCTATGTTTTACACTAAGTTTTTCTATGTGCATTACTTATTCGTGGAATTGTGGTACCCCACTTTTGGCAATTTTGAGGAAATTAAAACATTTTTGGAAAACTGTACCCTGGCAGCATTGTAAATAGCCTTCGGTACATCAAAACAGAGTGAATCCGGAAGATCGCGGGGATTCTCGAGGGATCTTGTAGAATCTGGGATTTGGGGTGCAGTAGTAAGGTCAGGCACCACCCTCCCTGCGAGCTCCGCAGTTAGGATCTCTACGGCGCAAGGCGCAAAACCCGCCTTCGGAGGTTGCGTCCGCGGCTGTAGGGAAACCCTCGTAAATAGGTAACCCTCGGGCGCCTTGACCAAGTTAGGATCCCGTTGGAAAGAGCTCGACGCGCTGATTCCAACGAGCCCAAGAACGCTTGGAACGGACGAGGACTTAGGGAGTTATCGCTACTGGAAGAAACGGAGGCGGTCGCCTGCGGCGGAAGGAGTTCGCCACCGGCGCGAATTCCGCCTGCGCGGAAGGGGGATTCAAGTTTTGTCCTATGCGCGGACGAAGGCGTTCGCCTGTGCACAGGCGAAGTAGGGTTAGGGAAGGCGCGAAGTCCGCCTACGCACAGGCGTTCGCCTGTGCACTGGCACTTCGGCGTCGGCGGGAGATCCGCCTTGGGCCCTAGAAATGCGCCTTGTGAGGTAGAAAGTGTACGGCGCCTTCCGCGCCAGCGCAGCGCAGCGTACGTCGGAAGACCGCCAGAGTAATCCAATCGGTACGGACCATGCGGACGGCACGGGTGGATGCGCTCTTGGACGGACGGAGTTGCGGCGGCGGAAGCGCCGACGGAGAGACAAGGAACGGACAGACTGGACGGAGACGGCTGACCACGGTCAACGCCTTCCGCGCCAGCGCAGCGCCGCGGACGGAATTCGCCTGCGCACAGGCGAACGCCTGTGCACAGGAGAATGTTCAAGTTCCGCGCCGGCGGAGAATCCGCCGAGGCCCCTGCCTGCGCACAGGCAGGAGTTGAATTTTCGTCCGACATGCGGACACACGCGTCAAGGCAGAAGGAGATTGGCCGAGGGGCGGTACGAACAAGTGTACCGCGCAAGGCGGAAAACTCGCCTTCGGCGCTACGCCCCCATGTCCGGAGGGTGACACGCTCGCGGAGTTCAAATCCGCCAATTCGAGCGTGAGAGTTTAATCGACGACGGCGGAGCGTGAAGCCGCGCGTGAGAGCGAAGACCGTTCCAGCGTACAGCCGGCGCGGCCATCAAGTGAGACGTTCTTCACGACCAAGAGACGACCATGACCTTCGACCGGGCGGCGGAGAGCGTCCCATTCTTGAATTCGCGATTCCAATCTCTTGTGCGCGCTGCGCGCATCCATCTGCTGGCTGCGGACCATTCTCGTCGTCGTCGCACAGGAGATTTCTTGTTGATTGAGGGAGAAGTGAGTGCGCGTGATTTGGAATTGAGAGCGATTAGAGTTTGCCGAGAGAGAAAGAAACGCGGACAGTGCGGAAGTAGAATGAGCGGGCGAGCGAACCCCAGGAACGCAATGACGAGACCGAGCAGATTGCGGATGGTGCCACTTCGCCTGCCGCAGAACGGGCTGCGCGCTTTCGAAGAGCGCTTAATAGCAAGAAAGCTCGATTTCTTGCTATGGGGATGGAATTACATCTGCGCGAATATGGTGCGCGAGTGGCTAGAGCCACAGGGACCACCCTCGCGCGGATTGCGTCCGCATGTTGACCGGTGGACAGTCCAAGATTGGGCGCAGGCGTTGGGAAGATGTGCTGGCATGCCAGGGCATCTCCTTTTCGACAGCGAGAGCATCAAGGTGACCAAGCAAGAAGAAGCGCAATTTGTGGAGCTGTTCAAGACCGGGAGGTCTACCAAGAATGGGTACAGGACCCGTGATTACAAAGATCGATTTCGCCGGACTTTGTCCGCGGCGCTGATGCAATTACTGCAGCCGCACCGCGCCTGCTACATCACATTGTGGCAGGTCTCTTTTGTGGAGTGCGTCATCGAGGGAACTCCAATTCACTGGGCGAGCATCCTGCACAGAGTGATGCGACAGCACGCGTTTGAGGAGAAGGGGGGAACTCTAAACCATCTTTCTCCTTTCCTCATCAATTTTTATCGACAGCGGAACTGTTTGACAGCGGCGGAGCTTGAACATTTTCCGCCATTGTCCATCGACCATCCCGGGAAGTATGTGCGGGAGAACGAGGTCGACACTGATGCGGAGGAGTCACCGACTTCTACCCCATCAAGACGGAGAGACGAAGGGAGACACACCCCTGCAGCGCGAGTGCCGCGGAAGCGGCGATGGAGGGAAGAGGCCGAAGAGGAGCAGCATCAAGAACTCTCTGTTCCCATTCGACCGCGGCCGCTGTGCGAGCCATACAGCCGGCCGAAGCAGAAGGCACGCAGACTGGTGTTGCCAGCTGACAGTGCAGACACGGCGACGATCGCGACGGAGATAGGAAGTGCGTCGCCAGAGAGGCGAGAAGAAGCGCGGACGACCGCAGGAGCAGCGGGCCACGCTGCAACCTCGTCGGGAGAGAGGCCGCCTACGGGCCAAGGGCCTCCGGAGTTACCACGTGCGATGCGGACAGATGTTCCGTTTGCGCACAGGCGAACCTCCGCGGACGGACGAGCCTCCGCGGACCGGCGAACACAAGTGGACGTGGATCTACGCTTACGCGTGGGAAGGAGCAGTCCGCCTGTGCACAGGCGCTCGCCTGTGCACAGGTCACCTATGCACAGAACACCTCCGCACGTGCCGCCTGTGCACAGGCAAGAATCACCCCCGTTCCAACGTAGGAAGGGGAAGGAGCCGGCGGAAGAACCGCCTACGAGACACCGGTCCTCGGGGCCAGACCCACCGGCGCACCACGCGCCGCAATTCGCGCCTTCGGCGCCAGGGCCTTCGAGCCGAGGAGATACGAGCAGAGAGCGTGCGGAGGCCGCACCATCGGCGGGAAGTACGCCGATAGATGCGCCTTCGGCGGTAGGGCCTATAGGCCAAGGAACATCGGGCGTGCGGCCCGCGGCCATGTCGCCTTCGGCGATAGATGTCCGCGGCGCTACGCCTGCGACGGACAAGGCGCCGGCAAATGCGCCTGCGCACGGGCCGGGCACAGCCCCCACGGACCGATCAAGGGAGCAGCAGACGGAGGAGCGGAGTGACTGTCCGCGGGACGACATCTCGATGCGCGATGCGCAATCCAACCCCGCGCAGCCACCCTCCGCTCGATCGCCTTCGGCGACGGACGACGGCGACAGAGAGAATGCGGTGGGCAATCAACCAGCGAGCGACGGGGATGCCGCTCGAATACATTCGCCTTCCGCCTTAGACATTTTGGCGACGAGCAGCGAGGCTGCAGCCGTGCCTTCGCAGGCAGCACACGTCGAGGACGTGCAGCCCCACTCAGGGCAGTCGCCGACGCAATCAATGGCGACTGAAATTCTCCACTCGGATGATGAGGACGGAGGCTCCACGGAAGAAATGTCAGGAGCAGAAGACACCGAGGAGGAGGAGGAGGAAATTGTTGGAGCGCCGGCGGCGGCGCTCTCTGAGCAGGTGATTCCGTTGCTGCGGTACTTGGATCGCAAGGTCGATAAATACGCCGACCCACTCCAGCCGGGATCTTACATCGAGTTAGTGCGCAGGCGGACTCGCACTAAAGTCCACACCAGCAAGCTATTAGCTAGAGTGGACCAGGAGTTGAGGGACTTGAAGGAGAAGCATGAGTGCTTGTGGGGTCAGTACAAGCTTAATCAGAAATTCTACAAGCACTCCGAGAAGATGAAGGATGAGAAACTGGGCGAGCTCACCAAGGAGCAGGTGAAGGTCAAGGAAGCACTCAACTCTGAGCAGGCCGAGAATCGGATTTTGTCAGAGGAGCTCGTGCGACAGACGCGGTTGTTGGAACAATGTCAGCTCGCACGGCAGGCGGATGAAGAATTAATCCGCAGTTTACAGTCAGAGTGTGGCGAATTGAGGGCGCAACGTGCTGAAGCCGAATCGCAATTAGTGACCATTGAAGAGGATCGCAGGAAGGAGGCGGATCGCACGAAGGTGGAGACGGCGAGGCGAGTCGCCCACTGTCTCAAGGGCTAC